TTTATATGTTATTTAAATCAGCCTCAATGCACGCCGTGACGTTTTAAATTAAAGATTAGATTTTTGAAGAATTATTTTTGGAACCCGTCGGATTCAAAATATGCGTGTTTGGGTCCTTTTTTCAGGAGGTTAAATCTTATGTTCTTTGTGTTTCGTCCTCTCTCACAAAAATTGTAATTGATGATAAAAAAAAAACCATCTACTATTATATCATGTCAAGCAGCACGCTTACGGGTATGCGACTAATCAAATGAAATTATGTTTGGTCCTCTTTAACATTCAAGTCAAATTCTTTTGCGGTTTCTTATTGAAAATTTGAAATGTTGAAGTCCGTCTATTGAGATTATCTATAAGATAGAACCCTGATATCATTGTATGACTTAGGTGGTCCCTTAATGTAATATTTGCCTTCACGCAATGAAGAATTAACGTCAATCTAGGCGTTTAATAAAGCCATTTCAAAATTTTTAGTGAAAAGCGAAACTGGTTTTATTTATTGTTATTTGCTCTGTAAATTGTACTTTTAACTTAATTTCTAAATGTTACGAAATTTTTTTTTTTCGTCTCATTGGCATTCTTTTCTCTCTAGAATTATGTAGAATAGTTCTGTGTAATTTCTTGAACTTGAAACGAAAAAGAGTTAAACAAACCTTATCTCATACTTCATGCAAATGCTGGTTAATTCACTCTAAAATGATATCATATGCTAATTATTTTTATATCGGTCAAGTGACCTACAATGCATGAATAACACTGTGTACCTAAAAGTTCTTTACCACAAACGATGAAAAATTTCTCATCTATCTTCTGTCTCATTCCGGAAGTCCTGGTACCCGTCGGTCAAAACTATCCTAATTTGTCATTCTTCAAACAAAGGTAAACTGGCCTGCATGCACAATTTCTGTCAAAAAAAAAAAATTAAGTGTCCATATGTAAAAATCCACAGTTCAAAACATTCTTTTCAATAAAATTTTAATATGTGTCTGTCATTGGTTGGATTTAAAATTTGTTAAATTATCAACATGTTACATTATAACTTTTTTAAAAAAAATAATATGAAAACTGACACAAAATCATACTAATATTACATGAGAACTGACACAAAATCATACTAAGATACATTGGAACATTCTATATAGAAGGCAGCTTATAAGTTATAACTCTTGTTTTGTTCATCATAAACTGTCAAAGGACAAAAAAACAAATAGGACGATCAAAGAAAGTTATGTCAGCAAACTCTAAACGTGCGAAATTTTGCACGATCAAGTGATCTTAGCGATGTAGGACAAGAAACTTACAAGTGTACAAGGTCAAAGGACCATGACCTTTGGTCACATTCCGATTCCTAGGAAGATGAAGATGTCAAGCATTTCCGTGGCTTTGCCAAAGACTGTGCTAAAGACTCCTTGGGTCTTCCATTTCTGTGATCTTTGCCCACATCAAAGTAAAAGTAAGATAATCCAGCATTTTGGTGACGAATATTCATACTGCTCGATGTCCGCTGCAAAACACAATTAACGTTGATTAATTTCCGAGAAACCCAGTTGGAAATATGTGGACGTCAAAAAGTGAGAACATTAAATCATCGGAATACTATGTCGATTTTAACATACTTCATATAAAGTTTCCATTCATGAGAAGAGAACTCTGAATACATTGAACATGTATCTCGAATCTTGATAGAGGACTTAACTGCATGTAATCATCTTGCAAATATAGTTTGGCTCTCATATGTGCATGGATGACGCTATTATAGATATTATAATGCATTTTCAATATAATCTGTTTTGTCTCTGAGACCATATAAACTGAGAACAGAATGGAATTAAAATGCTGATTCTGAATATCTATGATTTTTTTTCACCTATCTGTTTAAAAAGTAGTAAGTCTGTATAATACATGATAAAAAAATGTTTAACAGAATTGTTTCAAAAGTTATATTGAAATTTTGACTTAAGTTTGTTCTCATTTTTTGGTCTTTAGGGTTGAATCCTGCACTGGTAGAATATAAAATCTAACAATCTCAGTAAGTTAAGCTCAGTGTTCAAACAGTTTTCGTGCTAGAATTGCAGGAGTTATAAACGAAGATTTGTATAGAAATAACGCTGTTTGACTTCTTGTTCAATAAGCCCCTTTCTGAATCCAAGGGGCATAAATTTCAAAATTTGTAAGATCCTGTTGAGGAGAGATATCATTTTAAGAAAAGAATCTCGTTAAATTAAAAGTACATCTTGTTAGGGAAGAATTGCCATGATGGTAATTCCTGCATAAAAAGGTAAATTTGTAAGTATCAAACTAACTAATACACAATTCAGAAAACTGCATTTTAGTAATCCCGTGACGATTTTTAGAGCAAATGTATTCTCCAGCGACCAAAGTTGACTATTTCTGGCATTATTCTTAGTATCTGATGATATAGAATTTGCAGTGGTAAACTTAACTTATTAGAGTGAGGGTTAAACTTAGAGTCAGAGTGTTAGATTAGGGTTCGGGCTAGGATGAAGGGTTAGAAAGAAAAAACAAAAGCCCCGACACCGGGGGATCGGTGGCAATGCACTTGGCAAGACAAGTTTTCTCACGTTTTAATGGCAGGTTTCTTATTTAGACGCCATTGTAGAAGCTTCATTATATGGAGTTAAATGGGATAATTTATCAGTATTAAACTTATGCACAGACAGACAGAGAGACGAACAGTCTCCGTGTTCAAGAAGAAGCAAATCTTTGCACATTTAAGGTTAAGAATCTCTTTTTAAGAATTCGGGTTTTTTTGTATTGATATCAAACATGTTCAAATTCTTCCATGTAGAAGTAGAGAGTGTGACACAAACTTATACATGTAAAAGAGTGGGAAAACTTAGGCTTTCTTTCCAATTTTGTCCCATAATTGGAGCATGTTTTAGGCATTAGTCTTCCCACTACCTTGGGATTCCAATTTTAAAAAAAAAATATGCAATCTCTCATTGAGGAAATAACTTAATGAAACATTTAGTGGCTGACAAGATATGAAGAAAGGAGCAATTGCACCTTACAGACATAACAAATTGCACAACTTCCTAGGCATTTCTTATCACGATCACTCATCATCTCATTCCAATGGTCAAGGAGGGGGTCACACCGGTTTTTCATGTTTCCCCTTTATAATCGAAAACACGAGAATTTATTAAACAGGTCCTAGCCAACGGGTGATCCTCGTATGAACGTAGCCATCTTCAAAAGACATGCTTAAGATAAAACAATTAAATTCGTATTGTTCAACTTTCAAGTATAACAAAATCCCCCCAGATCCGCCATGCCTGTCTGGGGCTGTCGTTTCGCGGCGAAAGGAGAGCAGCATTGGCATGGCGTCGTCAATTTTCTCTATTAAACATAAGATATCGGGGTTCACCTAAGAACATCGTTTTGTTTCAGTTCAAGAGAACGGTATCGTCTGTAGGGAGCCCTGAAATTGGAAAGAGATGTTCATCCATTGAGGAATACCATCATCGATAAATATTTGTAGGGTTCATAAATCATAAGTTGGACTTCGTTAATTCCTACTAACTCTTAGTAAGCTGACAAATTAGTATAATGCATTGAGTAAAACTCAAAGACCGAAAAAATTGAAACACCCACGTCATGTTTAATTATTAAACATTTACACGAAATCTGAATATCATTTATCAAAAGCTTACAAGACTATGAAGAACCACACTCTGATAATAGGGTTCCGCCCAAGAATAAAGAGTACCATACTAATTTCCCTTTTTCACACGATATCCTTTTGAATAGAGTTCGGTGATAGAACCAAATGCTGTCGATTTTCACATTCTATGTAAACTGTGATTAAAGTAGAGCAGCTCATTTTAAAAACTAAGTGAAAATTATACTTCATTGTTTTGCTAATTTCAATGACTGTCGAATTCCTCGCGAAACTTTTTCAACATTAAACATGCAAAATATAGCTTTCTATTTTCCATAAAATACAAGCTTGGAGTAGTCCGCATGCCCGTAGCAACGGTTTCAAAAGTGTGTGTGTGTGGGGGGGGGGGGGGGCAACTTCCCAAAATAATCCGACAAAAAGAAAAAGAAATCGTAATTAACTGTCTCCAATTCCTGGAATTTGCCAGTGCTCTACCTTACCGCAACGGAAAAAGGGGGGGGGGGGGGCAACCAGCATATAAAGGAAAATTTACTATTGCAAAATACTATAATCAGAAAAAGTGCCCCCCCCCCCAGCGTTCTACGGGCCTGGTCCATCCGACTTGAGTAGATCGGTTACCAATAGTTCTTTGTGAATGATTTTACACTATATATTAATACAATGCCACACACCATGCACACACGAGTTACACTTGATCTTTTCTCAAGTACGATATTTCAGAACACACCCCAGGAGCGGATCCTGGATTTGAAGTTAGATGGGACGATACCTGATAAAGCATGGGGTTTGGGTGTATATAACACATTCAATGAGTAAGGAATCAATTTGTGAACCCTACATCTGTACATGTGAACTCAATATCGTCATTCGTTTAGTGTCTTTTTGTCAATCCATTGTTCTTGGTTAGTTTTTCATTTTTTTTCACTTTAGTCGCATCCTTGCAATGTAGGGTATACAATCCGCAATGATTTTGAACATATTTTCGAACAGCAATACAGTTCTTTTTTTCCCCCATGAAGCATCGTGCCGTCAAAATGAACAAGTTTTCCTTTCTGAATAGGCAGTTCTGTTTAATTCTCGTTCCTGTTCCAATGTTATTCCTTCTTTATTCAACCATACTGTCATTCATAGGTAAAAGTGTACATGTGGCCCATATTAAAATGCAGTAGTTTCAGTTTGATAATTCGTGACATTCTGCGATAAATCACCTTTTTAAAAGAATCGGTGTTTCTAGCTCCATTCAAATGACCGACAGAGTAAACAAGCGCACGTGTGATCAAATGAAGCCATCTCATCATTCGCATAAAAATCATATAAACCCACTCCTGAGTATTCAAAATAACAACACATTATATTTACAAACAGTAGATTTTCTTTATTTTCTTAGACAATAACATTAACATGCATCTTTGTGAAATAAGTTGACTAATTATGGAATCTGACGTTGATCATCACAGATTATTTATTATTCATACATTATATTTATACATGTATACATCCGAGGTCTTTGAACTCATCATGAACAAAGCAGAAAAATATATCAACATGTTTCACTCATTTGATGAAAAAGCACAAACATAAGGGGAAAGAATGTTGTGCGTCTTGTTCTAAATTTCTCCCTGGCAAACAAGGAAGGTAAGCGATACTAGCATTTGATATCTTGAGCATGTAAGAGTTGAGGTTCCTGATGGACCTGAATTCACCTGAATAACAATAGCCAGCAATATCTACAGCGATTTGATCGGAACAAAAACGAAACTTGGCATTAATCGGAAATACATAACAGTTTATCTTTTTTTTTCCTGACTTGAATATATTTTAACCAATTGCAATAGACCTAAATGTGGTAGAGATTCTCGCTTGTAACTCTGTCTTACATCCACAAATAACCCAAGAAGCCTTCAGAAAATGGTAAAAATAATTTGTCCCTAGTAAGAATTTATCATTGTTGTTTGCACTCGGCTGGTTTGTTGGGATCACTCTGAAAAGAAGAGGGAGAGAATTTATAATTATTATCGAATACATCATAGCTACAATTTAACATCAGGATAAAGGTATTCATCAACTCAACGACAACCAACACCTTTACATAGGGGGATTTGCATTTACTTAAGTTACGGTAAAGCTCACATTGATACACATCCTCTCTTTCTTGGCATTTTCATGCAAATAATGACATTTTCAAAATCAATTCATTTTTAGTTATCTTCTTTGCAATTGTTTCTGTAAAATTTCTTTTATGTCTCCTCTAGAAACATGCAACACAATTAAATATTCATGGAAGAAGTTGCTACAAACAAAACCAGAAATCATCCAAACCAAAGTAACTAAAGCAGTGGTACATAAAATTCTACACATCATTGAAGTCCATTGTCATTTTGATACTTTCTCTATCCATACACCTTGACTCCAACATGCAAATAATCATTCTTCAGACCATGCACATTACATACTTGTCAACATGAAGCACAACTTGTCTGGTTATATACATGTACTACAATCTCCACTCAAATTTTTCACCACTATATACAAAATCATATTCACTTTATTTGCATGTCAGAAGTGTGAATACATGACCAAGAGATTACATCTGCATTCATTTTTCCCCCTTCATTGCCATGCAATTCATGATTGCATATTACCAGACAAGTTGATTCTCTATCACACAAACCCCGCTAGGGATCATTAGATGCACTGAAGGCATATTATGCTCTCAAACAGCAGTCTGTCATAAATACATGATGAAGTTCCAGAAACCTATTGACTGAAGAGATATCTTAAAAGTATCTTCTGTACCTTTCACCTCTAAATTGTGATTTTTTTCCCCCTGTTCATTTCCATATGAATGGTCAAAACAATTGGTAAAATTTTCCCAAAATTTCTTTCATGTTTCACCAACTCTCTGTTCACTCATATAAAATCTGGGTTTAAAGCAAATGATTTTCAAAAAGAAATCTAATTTATAATTAAATTGCACACAATTTCAGAATACCTTGCGAGGCAAAATCGGACAGAAGTAGCCTTTTCAGTTGACAATTTTATAAAGGAACAACATTTATCCCAGTTAGAGTTATCTCTCTTATTAGAGGGTCGATGGACCTTAAAAACACACATTCTTAAGGTGTCATCTTCAATGAAGTGGTACTTAATTGCCATATATCAAATCATAATTTATGCTGATATAGTAAAACACACTTATACCTAAGAGCCAGGGATGGATGATATGTTTCATTATAAACAAAATTCATTATATCTGTTAAGTTTACATTAGATTTTTAAGCCACAGGGAATGAAAACCACTCTACTCTAAGCCCCAATTCATTATAAGCATGTTTGTTTTACTGTATATACACAATTCTCTTCACAAGTCACAATTTCTAAATCATGGAAGTTGTACATCAACTGAATGATTAATGTCTGTCTTTCCCCTTTATCATTAATTCGTGTATTCATAATAGATTTTGCATATTTTACAAGAACATTATATGCCCTTTGTGCACTAATCCATTACCCTTCATTCAAGCCTGCATTAAAAGAGAAAAGAATTATTCCAATAGATATTTCATTGTATAAACCATTTGTTGTTTCTTAACTAAATGCAATGCAGATTTTGAGAAATCTCTTGATCTTGTATATCTAGAAAACCATGTTAAATCCAATTATTAAATCATCTAATTCTAATATTTCTATCTCCTTTCCCTCTGTCAAGTATTTTACCAACTTCTTCCCTAAATTACTATCAAAATTCACTTTTTAACAATCAGGGAGCACAATAAATGCAATCCCCATGCTGCTGTGAGCTATCAGTAACTACTGTTCATGCTTGGCTAGGTTACTAGAAATGGCCTTGAACTTACCGCGGGGTTATAGTCGGGGTCAGCATCCTCATCATAATCACCCTCCTCTCCCTCACCCTACAACATCAACACAAGACTTGTCAAACAATCAGTGCCAACTCAAAAATAATAACTAAAGAGAAAATAAATCAACAATGCAAGTCAGTCAAATGTGAAAGTAAAACTAAAATCTACTGAAAAAATAAAAATAAAATGGATGCAGGTATTTTTCTATTGTATAACCTTACCTCCTCTTCACCCTCTTCATCAAACTGAAAAAGAAATTAATTTTCAAATTTATTTTAAAGTTGGAAGTTCAATATTAAAGCATATTATAAAAGATACATCATCAATTTTTAGAAATTACTTACATCATCTTCTGTTTCTAGTGCCTCGCCTGTGAAATATAACACTGCTCGGGGAACAATCCTTTCTCTTATAAAATGTCCAATTTCAAAATCAGCTGCTAACAGTGCTTCAAGATCTTCATCCTGTGAAGACACCAGAAAATTTTGAGAAATATGTATGTTAAAAAAACATAAATCTAAATCAGACATAACGCTGAAGTTTGACTTTTTCACTACCGTAGATCACTAAATTTTTGCGACACCTTATTTTCGCGAGTTAGACATTAACTCTTTATTAGCGAGACAAAATAATTATGAATTGTGGTAAATGCTCTATATCATGTTTAGGCATACTAATATACGCGAGAATGATAATTTTGCGAGCAAATTGTCTCGCGTAATAACATGAAAATAAAGTTCTCACGAATAAAAAGTGATTTACAGTATTAAATTAGCTCAATCTGTGTCAACATGGTATCTGATGGTAAAAAGGAGCAGGAGGATACTGTTCCTTCAATTAACTCTTCTGATGCATATAACAGCATCACCGCTACACTAATAAGTTTACACTTCTTTTTTATTCAGTAACATTCTGCCATACTTTCTTTCAATACATTAAACAATCTTCCCTAACTCATCAGCACATTGCTGAAGTCTGCAATAACTTTACACCTAAATTACTGTAAATCACTTTTTATTTGCAAGACCTTCTGTTCAGGAAATTAAGTTTCATTCTCACATGTCTAAACTGTATTATGAAAGATTATAAACAACTGAAATTTGTGAAAATTTTGTCCCTCTTATTAATACCAAGTAAATATTGTGCAAAAATGAGGTGTCAAGAAAAGAGCTAGGTTCTCTTTATGCATAAATTGGCCCTGTCCGTCTATCAATTATTTGACTATAACCCTCCGTCCCATTCCATATATCAAAATAAATTAGAGACTTAGTGCTTTCATTTCCTATAACGAAATTTCTTCTTGAGAATCCAGGTATTGGAAAACAGGCTTTGTAAAAATGCAATTTTCTTGAATTTTGCAGAAAACAGGCGTATCTGACTACCTTCAGCAAAGAATTAAAATATGAGCACAGCCCTCGATCCAAAATTTAAAACGTTTTATGTTCTTCAGAAACATATCTTTCATTACTTTTTGCATATTTTGGATCAGAGGTTGTGCTCTATATAAAATATTGAAAAACTTCTTCAACTTTTTGCCATTTTTAAAGGAATTTACAGGAAATGGGGAAAATGACACATTTCATGACGTCATAATGCTTTGACTAAAGAGAAAATTATGTCATGTTCAATAGATACAATGTCACCAAGGGTCCAAGTGATAAATACTGCATTGTCAACCAAAACTGAGCAGTTTCGTTTTTTCAGAAATTCAAAGGGCCAAAAAAGGCCTTAAGTGGCCCTTGCTCTTTGGTGATCTACAGTATTTTTTTTTCATTTAATTTTCAGTCATCTCTGTGATATGTAATGACTGCAGTTAATATTAATTAACTCACCATGTCTCCTTCTTCCTCTTCTGGCACTAAAAACATAAAATACATCATCTCATATACAATCATCAAATATGTACTGTGAGCAACGAATATTGTTTAAAATCAACATAGGCTTCTTGTGAAGCAGAGCATTCTTAAAGTAAGCTTTCTATCTAAACATACTGTTTTGCAAGAAGATAACCGGATTCAAAATTCCTCCATAAAAACATCATTAATCTACGTAATAACTTACCTTGTGGAGGGTTGAAAAAATTGAAGAAGGAATCGTTTTGTACAGTCTTTGTCACTGTCCGGGTTGTTCCCCTCCCCTTATGTTTCTGTTTCTTCTTTATCGTTTTAACTGTCACATTTTTACCTTTCTTCCAATCTATTTCACAACTGAAAAAGAATAAAGTTTTAAAATCAATAGTCTGAAGATTCCAAATAGATTTTTCTGCCTTTTATGAGTAGCAATTATAAACATTGCCTTCAACAATTGCTCATCCCAATGCTTTCACTTCAAGAAGTTTGCAAACTTTAAAACGTCATGTTTTAGGTAAGAAGGCAAAAATATCAAATTGGAATTCAAATCCAAAATCTCTCTGCCTTTCCTTACCCTTTGCACTTGACAATTTCTGGGCCTTCAAAAGAGAATGGGTCCTCCTCATCTGGCTCTGATCTCATTGAGTAGTGCTTCGTTAAGACAGTGTTTGAGAAATAGTCATTCGGTTCAAAGTGAAATTCTAGTGTAAATCCCTGAAAACAGAGAAAAAAATTATTATCTCACACAAAGGTCAACAATTCTTCATTTTTATCCCCTCCTTGACCTACATTTTCTCACCTTCGTTCAACCCTGAATCACATCAAATCAAAGATTTCTGATTAAGAGATGGAAAATATGTGAATGTTAAAGCTTTTCAAAAAAAATTTAATTTTGAGGAAATACATCTTGATAACACTGAGGAAAAGCCTGGAAAAAAGGAATTTATATGTAGGAGGAATACTGCTACCATGCAATACTGATCTTACCATAGAGTCTGTGTCAGAAAATTTGACCTGAACATCCTGTAGATGCTGTAAAATAGGTTCATCATGTTCCTGCAATGGACAGATCATAGATTTATTATGCATCATCATGTGAAAAATGTTTTTCAAAAGTGATGAAAAAATTTGTTGAAGTCCATCACTAACTCAAAACCTGATAGAAAGCATTTCTTCCATATATAAAAATGCTGGGTTTTGGTTGAATGTGTGAAGCAATCAGATGATTACTTAGTCTACAGTTCAGTAGTCTGACATACTGACAGCAGGCAACTGTCGTCATGACTACCAGTCAGACGCAAATTACAACATCATAGCTTCAATTCACTGTCATCACTATTTAGGGATTAAAGTTTATAATTATTGACTTACCTGAACCATTTCTGACAACATATCTACATTTTTGAACACTGTCAACCAAAAGTGTGGAATTCCTTTTACATTCTCTCCTGTAATAAGTGAAAGTTGAAATGATAGTCAACAATTCAGATCTTTTCATTTTTATTAGAGAAGGGGGTTTCTTTCTTTTTTATTTTGCACCATTCTTTATAACTCCTTTTTTTTTTACGCAGTTGAAGCAGTCAGAGAGAAGTTGTCTACAGTTTGGTAATCTGACATGGTGACAGCAGGCAACTGTCGTCATGACTACCAGTCAGACGCAAATTACAACATCATAGCTTCAATGAAAACGTTAAGAAACAAAGAAATAATATGAATTCAAGTTTCATTCCCTCTTCTCAAAAATTTACCTCAAACTTAAGCATTTTTAAAATATTATTATCAAAGTTACATGTGTTCACTACCTTCCTTTTTGTCTTCATCTTTTTCTTTTTCCTCTACACTTGCTTTATTTTTCATATCTTCCTACAATTTGAACACCAAATAAATAAATAAAATGGAAAAATATGATGAAAGTAATCCGTTCTCCTTAATATCAAATTCAACAGCATAACAATTAATTAATCTCCAATATCTTTACAGATAAATGTGTTTTGCCTATTAATGCTTAAGAACTAAAGAGAACTGGGACCCATTTTACAAGACATATAATAACAAGATCAAAATCATCATTGCACATTTCTTTATATGTCTCTTGAAGGAAACAATGAAAGACTCTGCTAAAAATACTGATGGCACTTTCTATTTTTTTTTTTTTTGAAGTTTCACAACATAAAAGATTTGAAACCAAATACAATCTAAATAAAATCAGAATTGTATGTTTGAGAAGCAGTAGCAGGTTCGGAACATCTACTTTTACTCAGATTGAACTACATGTAGACATGGACCCAAACTTTGATCCTATTATATATATTTTGTTAAACAGACCCCTGTTGTGTAATGTGTTTACCGCTGGATTCTTTACCGATAATTGTTCATCTTCCTTTTCATCATCACTCGGCCAATCACATTCTTCATCTGTTGGTTCTACACTACCCGTAATAACAGTTTTCCTCTATAATGAAATCAATACATTATTATCAATTTTTGGAAAGGGGGGGGGGGGGGTAATTGTACTTCAAAGGTCAAACAAGCAAAACTCTAGGTAAATTTCTCACTGCCTATCACTTTCTGCCAACATTTTAAAACATAGGTAATCAAAGATTACGAAGCTCATCTCGACGAATGTTACCTATAAGTAAGGCAAATTTCACATCATATTATTTTATAGAAAATTTTGGTCAGTAGTTCCAACATAAAAAGTAAGTCCGGAAGTTTTCATCCTTAGATGTACCATCTATGCTAGTTTAATCATAACAGGCCATAAAATTATATAGCTTCTCCAAAAAAATACCCAGTCTCTCATCTGGAAAATGTAGGTCAGATTCAGAATCCAAAGCAAGTCTGGAAGTGTCCATCCCTAGACACATCATCCATACTAATTTGGTTAAAATATGGCTAAAATTCACTCATGTGGAAAATCTAGGTTGGATCCAGAATCCAAAGCAGGTTGATTAACGTACATCCCTAGATGCATCATCCATGAAAGTTTGGTCCAGGTAGGGCTTATAGTTACTTGGGAATGGACCTGTGGTAGTGTCCATCCCTAAATGCATCATCCATGCAAGTTTGGTCTAGGTAGGGCTTATAGTTACTTGGGAATGGACCTGCTCCAAAAACTTTAACCTCGTCACTCATCTAGAAAATCTAGGTCAGATCCAGCATCTGAAGCAAGTGTGGTAGTGTCCATCCCTAGATGCATCATCCATGCAATTTTGGTCCAGGTAGGGCTTATAGTTACTTGGAAATGGACTTGCTCCTAACACTTTAACCGGGACGCCGACGGTATACCATAAGCTCATCTCGACTTCGTCGAGGTGAGCTAAAAACATATTGCAATACTATCACGTAAAGGATAGAATCTTGTCTAGCCAACACACCTGCCACAAATAATTCCCAATTCTCAACCACAAGCAATTTACTTTTCTCCAACAGTCATTCATTTAATATTCCACAGGTCACGCTAATTTATTGCGATTTACATGGTATATTTATTTGTAGATTTCTACATGGGAAAATACTGAAGCAGTCAGAGAGAAGTTGTCTACAGTTCGGTAATCTGACATGGTGACAGCAGGCAACTGTCATCATGATTACCAGTCAGACGCAAATTACAACATCATAGCTTCATTTTGATTCTAAAATATTAAACCTGGGATTCTCGCTAGTCACAAAAACAGTAGAAAACTTCCATTAATTAAAAAATCCAATCAATCAAGTAATGTTACATACTGCAGGAAAACTTGGTTTACTAACAAGTATTAATTTCTGATTTTTCACTAACCTTTTCAAACAATGGTGTATATTTGCCTGCGTATTTACATTCTAACTCGTGAACTTCTTTGTAAAAGTCAGCTTCAATCTTTGCTGCCTCAAACTGCCATTTTTTCAAGGCCTTGATTCGACGCTTAACTGACTTTGGCAAGCTGCGATTTAAAATTATCGATAATATCATTATTACAACAACTATCATACAGCTTCATCACCTACAGGTCATATCTAAAATTTTACTCCATTAATCCAAGCTTTTTTCTCACAGTTTAAGAAATATCAGAATTTCACTGATATTTTTGGTTACTAGTACCTCTGTATATAGCCAGAACTTGCCCCCACCATCCTCCCGAGGCGGTGCTGTAGATCAGCCAAAACCTGTGGGTTCTGCATCAACTGACTGGCCAGTTCAGCTGGGGCATTTCCATGCTCCTCTGTGAATAAACATGGGTATTTCAATTACAGGTATTACAGATCTCCATGCAGTTTGCACTCTAGCCAAGCTTTGTAAAATACTTTTTTTGCTTTGATCCTCCATTGTGGCACCACCCTACCCAACTTTTCTGGCCCTTTGCTTTTTCTTGAGAAGATTTTCAAAAGATGGCATCAAATTTTTCCTTTCTCTTAATTATCTCCCCTTGAAAGAAAGTGTGGCCCTTCATTTGAACTTGAATCCCCTTCACCCAAGGATGCTTTGTGGCAAGTTTGGTTAAAATTGGCCCAGTGTTTCAGGTGAGCTAAAAACTTTGTAGATTCCAAATAAGTGTACATGACCTAAGAGTTGAAAGAGGAAGATATGAATTGGTAAAAAATAATAGAAGTCAGAAAATTCCTCTAGAAAGAAACAAAAGAATATATGAATTATGCTACTTAGATTATATAGAAGATGAATTACATTTCCTCAATGACTGGTTTACTACAGCACCCTGGTTGATTTAATAAATGGAGTATTTTACTGAAGTCAATGGAAACTGAAAATCTTGTAAGTTTTTCAAGTGATCATATCTACATACATATGATTGTGGACCAAAACCCATTCTCATCATACACTCGTGTGTACTTGTTCAATATTTAACACATCTGTGAATCATGTCAATGAACAAATTAGCACACATACATGTGATATGTACAGGCTGTACGCAAAATGTACAGTTTTTTGAGCCCATTCATCGTGTACCGGCGGGACACCAAGATTCACGGAATATGAAAATTTGTACAGTATTTTGAATTTCTCGCTAAATACCGCCATTTTCCTCTCATTCTCGCTCGCGAGACACTGGAAACGTCACCTGTGTTTGACACTTGACCTTCTGATAATTGTGTAGTGTACACAAACCATAGCGTGCGAAGGTGTGAACTGCCAGTTGGGATAATTATCTTGCTATAAATCCGTATCAAATACCCCTTTAGGTAGCTTTATTTTTTAAGGGGTACTTAATTACTGTTGTTTCGTATACGTAACTTGATTGAAAAAAATTAAGCCAACTTCTAAAGTTGATATACATGACTTTAGTCTTAATATACGTGAATCTGACCCAGATCTTCGTAGGTATAAAATATACGATGTTTATTACAATGATTACGATGGAATTTCAGAAGAATTTAAGCGATATTTTATACCATTTTTTTGTACCGTTTTTTGATAGGCAGTGTACAGTTTTTTCACCCAAATTCCAGTTTTTTTATGGCTCCTGTACAGTTTTGTGGTCTTTGACTTATCACATGTATGAGCACAACCTTAAATTTTGTACTAATTATATTTTTTTGAGTTCATATTCTAGACAACCTTTCAGCTCTTAATATTCCGGGCTTTCAAAAACAGGTAATCAGAGATTACAGAACTCACCTCAACGAATGTTGTCTTTAAGTAAGGCAAAGTCCCACACTAAACTAATAATCTAGGAGTGTGCATCCCTAGATGCAACATTTATGCAATTTTGGTCTGATAGGGCTTGCAGTTACTTGGGAATAGACTTATCTGAAAACTTAAAACTAGTCACTCATCCAGAAAATGTAAGTCAAATCCTGCATCCGAAGCAAGTTTTGAGATTGTTCGTCCCTAGATGTATCATCCATGCAAGTTTGGTCAATATAGGGCTTATAGTTACTTGGAAATGACATCTGCTCCAAAAACCTTAACCTGGTCACTCATCCGGAAAATATAGGTCAGATCCAGCATCCTAAGCAAGTCCAGAAGTGTACATCCTTAGATGTATCATCCATGCAACTTTGGTCAATATAGGGTTTATAGATACTTGGAAATGACATCTGCTCCAAAAACTTTAAACTGGTCACTCATCCGGAAAATATAGGTCAGATTCAGCATCCGAAAGTTCAGTAGTGTGCATCCTTAAATGTATCATCCATGCAAGTTTGGTCAATATAGGGCTTATAGTTACTTGGAAATGAGATCTTCTCAAAAAACCTTAACCTAGTCACTCATCTGGAAAATGAAGGTCAGATCCAGTATCCGAAGCAAGTCCAGTAGTGTGCATCCTTAAATGTATCATCCATGCAAGTTTGGTCAATATAGGGTTTATAGATACTTGGAAATGAGACCTGCTCCAAAAACTTTAACCTGCTCCAGAAACATTAACCTGGCAATTCTTTAGCTGAAATTGCAGCATCTGAAACCTTGACTGGTACAATGAAACACACTAGAAGCATCCTCCATGCATCTCTGACTAATATAGGCCATAGAAGTACTTGAAAAAAAAAACTGCTCCAAAAACCTTAACCTGGGACGCCAACGCCGAGGGTATTACATAAGCTCCCCCAACTTCGTTGAGGTGAGCTAAAAATTAGAAACAGGTAGTACTTTCATAAAAATAGGAGGTACCTTGTGGAAGCGATTTTAATCAAATATGTAACTGAATTTTTCTCAATCAATTATTTTGGCCGGTAGGGCAATGATTTCAGCCAGGTAAAAGTACCCGGTAACAGCAGATTTTGAAAGGCCTGAATATATGATCCCACTTAACTAAATGAAAGGCCTGAATATATGATCCCACTTAACTTAATCTACAGTATTCTGAGAAACAAAAACCAAAACTGTACTGTACTTCAGGTTTATAAAACTCAGTACAACCAAAGAAGATTAATGTATCTATCATTTGGTAAATGAAGCCATTGGCTAACTTAGACACCCGTGTCATGGGAGTTTTCTTCCCTTTTCTGCCAGTTAACCTACCCTCTTCCTCTTCTACTTCTTCAACTTCCTCAGGATTATCAGCTGGTTTTCTACAATGACAAAACAGCTGGTTAAAGGTGTAAATGACACTCAATACACCTAGCATGTTAATATATTCTGATCAATAGCATGTATTGATTTAACACATAGGATACACCATTGGCAGTGCCAGCACCTCACACCTTCTGCATGTCTACTCATTTGCAAACATTTAAAGTAATATGGCTCATGAACATGTGTACTTTTCAATATACAGCAATCGGTGGCACACAATTGCCCCCCCCCCCCCCCCTTCTTAAAAAAAAGTTTGGTGATTTCGATAATATGAAAACTAAAAGCATATCTTATCAAAATAAGGAAAATTAAGTTCATTATAAGTAGTTTAAAGTCCCTGACATTCACATCACATGATTATCACCTTTTTCTCCACATCTTGTCACCTTCTCCGATTTCAATTCGAAAAGAATGCTCATTGCTCTATACACTCATGCAATAGTTCTGGGAACACAGACATTTGATGCATTTTCAAATTAGCCCCAACAATCAATTTCAGTTGGAATACAAGGATTCCATGGAATTTGACAAAAATCCCTTTCACTTGTGTAATTTGCCATATAAAAGTCAAATTTTCAAGTTCCTACCTCAAATACATAATTAAAAAATTTCTCATAAACTGAATTGCTTATAGATGGATAACAAAACACTGTATTTCTAAAGTCAGATAAAAATTACAAGGAGGTAGATGAAATAAACTTACTGAGGTTCTGCAGGATCTGCCATGGCTGTCTTGTCCCTGCAAGAAAATAATCAACAGATGAAACTGTTCCATTAAAGGAAATGATGTCTGCTGCTTTCTGATCTATAAATATCTTTCACATTAACCTTGTCAAAATGATCAATGTGTAACACTGCCTACATCCCACTTCATTTGCCAAATTGATATATTTAATTCTCATGCCCGAACATCTGAGGTTATGGCCAAGTCATTCATAAAGGAATGAGAGTGGCTTTGCTCTTTTTCTACGGGAATCTGACTGCAATTTGAACCTTCAAACAAATGCATAACACTTTGGATAGAATATTATTCCTTTACCTATCCCTAATAGACCTATCATTTTCTTATATTTTTCAGTGTCATGATTGACACAGTCTATTTTCAAGATTTTTGCTAGTATATGTACATAAACTTCACAATTATCATCCAACAACTATAGATCCTTAACAAAGCTCAGTTCAGAAAGGTTTTCCTTTCTTTCACTTTTTATTATTGTACTGGGGCTTCTGGCATCATATTCCAGCTCCTCTTTACATGCTTCCTGTTTGCAAAATGTAGGTCCTATATAATATATATATTTTAAAGTTGTATCCATTTTTTTTTTTTTTACATTTTTTTTTAAATTACAGTTATCTTCTATATTCAGTGAATGATTGATACAATAAATGTATTTGTTGGGAGAAAAACAGAAGAAAAAATAGATAAAAAGGAAATGGAAAGAGTAAGAATATGGGGGAGAGGGGCAGAGGAAATTGTATGGGAGAGAAATGGGGGTGAAGGCGGGAAGAGATGGAGAAGGGGGAAGATGGGGGAATAGGCTTATGAAAATATTGGTGCTCCAGTGGACCACAATGCCAAGTTCCCCTTGATTTCAAATGCAAGAGAGAATGCAAGTCTTGCATCATATAATCACTTTTTACATAAAAAAGCAAAATTGATAAGACTTCACAGTAACATGTTGACAAATCATGGGGCTTCAACACTTAAACCATCAGTTCTCAAATAAGAAGAGGAATAATGATACACAGTATATATGACTAAATTTCGATTTAAAAATGCATGACAATTCATTAATCATTGAAAGATTCCTTCAATACAGATGAGTAAACAACACAGCAACATGGATTGGATAACAAAAGATTGTTAAACTAAATATTGGGGGGGAAGGGGGGGGTTTACATATGTGATATATATATATTAGTTAATTTTTAGTAAATGTGGTTATCTGGTAACTGCTGAGATTGTCTTTATTTGCAACTGACAGACATATAGATTGTTTCTATTTAGAAACTAATAGACACAATCAATTATTCATCTTTACAACACAGTCCCAGTGATATTGAGTTGCCAAATTTAGTTCTCAATGCCTCTAAGTTTCATATTGACTTATCTTTCATTAATTGATTAATCTTTAATCTTTATACATAACCCTTCATAAATGTGCACATAATTTTTATAAATGTCAACTGAACTAATTTTTTAAAGAAGGGCACAGGTACTACTGTCAACTCTCAAGATAATTTTACTTGAAAACAAACTGAAACATTACATAATGAACATTTTTGAGAAGCAATGTCAATATAACATATTACGTAATCCAGCAGCATGCAAAATGTCACTACAAAAAAAAACAAACAAACAAACAAACAAACAAACATATGTTGCACTATACACTCTGTAGAGCATACAGTCTCTAAAATGATCGTTTTACAAACATTTCATCTTTCTGAAACATCAAAGCAAAAATTGATATATCACTATATGGGCCAAATAATCATATTTGTGATACACATCTCAATAATCAAGGATTAGTGTGTTTAGATTGATGTTTCGCAGAGACAAATGTAAATAACAACTTCTTTAATTGAGCACATTATGTTCTATCCACTATATACGTGTATTAATTTGAATATCGGAACATTTCTCCTGCACGTGTTATCAACAATCTGCATCACTGCATTGTTTCACCTATAAATATCTATGTAAGTATTGAATGAATCCAACTGAATGTGATCACCAAGTAAAAGTCTTATACTTCAGTCTGGGATACATTTTATTAAAAATTATGTAAAATTAACTCAACCCTTGTAAAGTCTTCTAATTACTCACCCTGTAACAATTTGTTACAAACACGAGGGAAATAATGGTGGAAAAAGGACAGTAGTATAACATCACTTTTGATTGGTTAAAAAATTATCAGTATAATAATAAAGCGGAAATTCAACCAATTAAAACAGTCGTTTCATCAAATAAAGGTAGTCATTGGCGGGTAATTTCGCCTGCGCGAGCATATAAGGCCAATGCACAAAATTTTTTAGTTTTGTACATTGGTTCTTATATCTTTTTCATGGAAAACTGTTATATCCAGTATGAAAATCAAGTTTAATGATAATAAGTTAACAATATTTAAAACATTTTGCAAACTGTATAAATTCCAATGGCTATTACAAATTAATTCATCACTTCACAATCTTTATAAATCGGTTTCAAAAGAAAAAAAAATAGTGATAAAATAATTCAGCTTGGCATTAAATTCATGGATTAATCACTGATTAGTTTCTTCTTAATTCTTATGGGTGTACTATTCTAAACATTCACTCAGTGATGGCAAAATACATTTTGTACATTGACAACTGGACCTTAATTAATTTTGTCAATGTTCTTGCCCTCTTTTGTGCTGTTAAAATCGTTTATTGATTATCCTATGCGCATGTTGTTATTTGAAATAATAAATGTTTTCTGCATACTACAAGGTTGCAAATCTTAAAATATTACTAACCATGTGTCCCTAATATATTTTTTTTCACTATTTCCACATCAAAACATTTCCTAAAACCGTTAATAAAACTGAGACCTCCTGATAATTTTGCTGAAATAAGTTGATTGATTGTATGTTGTTTTACGTCCCATTCGAGAATTGTTCACTCATATGGCGAAGCTCTTCAAATTTTGACCTTTACTCGGCACTCAGTGAGGGATCTTTAAAATCGTGCCAACGCCTTCAGTGACACGGGGCCTCGGTTTTTAAGGCCCGCAACTTTCAATTCAAAGTGCCGAGCGCATGGCGAAGGAACAGTTGCTGCCTATTTTTTACCGACATAGGTCAGTCGCGGCCGGGATTCGAACTGTAGTAAAATAGGGGATTTTACTTATAATGTCGCCTACCTTAGTATAAGGTGACGACGAAGCACACGGGTTTACCGTCATGATGAATAAACACGGGTACAGGTACAAACAACAAAACAGCTAGGTAACAAACGTGGTGAATAGTAGGACTGGTACGACTCGACTGACTTGGGAACCGTGCCGGCACGGGTGGATGGCTATGAGGTCGATCAGGGTGAAAGGTCATAGGGGATATATTTACATAATATGCATTTTTAGTTTTTTACAACAGAACTCAGACCGGTCACGGAGCGAGCGCTCTACGTACCGACTGAGCTATATTGTACCGTGACGGTTGTCGAAATAGGCACAGTATGACAATATAGACACTGGAGAAAACATACTAGTAGCTATTGTATGCTTGTGCCCCTCCGCAGAAATAACGTCTCCTGGTCTGATTACCCCTTTTATTTTTGCTTGTCAGGAATTTTTGCTCGGGGCACTCCCCCCCCCCCCAAACTGAAAATGTTTGGTTGCCCCCCCCCCCTCCCATCTGAAATCAGTTGCCTCCTACGAGCCTGGTATGTATAAATACGTCGTCAAAAGTCTTCCGACAATACATATCAAAATCTTGATGAAAGTATCAATAAAGACTAGTCCAATAGGACAGACTTAAATGCGATGACAGCAGAGGGGCATTTGGCATCGATGATGTCCTTCGCTATCTTAATTGATTGGCGTCAGTAAGGTATCTAGCACCTCGATGGTAATTAAAACTCCCAAGAATTTTCTCCAAGTAGTGTCTCCACAAATAATTTAACTGGAGGTACCCTGAGCGAGCTAACAAAATTATATCCCCGCTAGTAGCAATATTTGCAGAAGTGTACCCATACACAATTTTCTCAATTAATCTGGCCAAAATTATAGCTGAGTTAAAAAATGACACATCATCTGGTTGTAAGTAATCTTAGAGTGAAATATGGACATATATCCAATTTTTTCCATTAGAAAGATATGGAGCAAGTGACCTTGAACTTGCATGGTCTTCTGTCAAGGTCATGACACACCTTCAGGACCTAAGAAATATCTCATTTCTGTGAAGTATAAACTTCCAATATTTTACCATTAGAATGTAATAGACTGGGTACAAATTTAACATTTTTTCTGCCAGTGACCTTGAACTCGCCAAAATGACCTTGAGACATCTTTATGTCATAAGCAATCTTTGGACATCTTTATGTCCATTAGAGAGCTATATAGGCCGGGCACAAATAATTCACTTTTTCTGCCAGTGACCTTGAACTTTTTGTGTCATACGCAATTTTTTTTTTATATAAGTATATGATCTTCTAGAGTTCTTCATTAAAAGTCAGGACAGGAATAAAGCATAAAGCATATTTCTAAAAGTGACCTTGAACCTGATCAAAAGACATTGGATCAAGGTCAAGTCATATCATTATCTCTGAAGCAATATTTGAATGAGGTATGAACTTCAATGTTTCTCCACCAGGAAGTTATATACCAGACACGAAATAGGATTTTTATCTTTTTTCTGCTTGTGACCTTGAATTTGCATGACCTTCGTACAAGTATGAGTTTTCTCCAGTGCAAAATTATGACCTGGACACGATTGCACGGACAGACGGACAAGGTGATTCATATATACCCCAATCCCCACCAACCCTCCCCAGCTTCCTTTGGTGGGGGTATAAAAATTAACTTTTATCTTTTGTGTCCATTCCGTTTCTGCATTGACTGGAGAAAGAAACAATACTGTGTAAACATGAACAAAGCGACTTCAAACAATCTCTATTGTTCTGCTTTTTTTTAGGGGAAAATTCACCAGAACGTGAAAATTGTGTTACACCAACCATAAAATGTGAGGCAGATAGATCTTTCTCTGTGATGAGACGCATCAAAACCTATACCTGCAGACTTATACAGTATTTGCAAGAAGACAAGTTGACTTGCACTGATGCACCTTCATCATTTATTAAGAAATAGTACAATCATTTATCAGACAGGCAATCTTAAAAACCAATCTTTCAATCAAGTCTTTTCAAATGACTTAATACCAGTTTATACCAGGAAACATCAGCACATGCATGACAAACAGTTAAGAATTCACGTCCGGCGTCGTTTCCTGGGCATAGTTGAAAAATGAAATTAAATTGCAGTATGTGTCTTGTAGGTATTACAATTTTATTTTATTTTTATGCTCCATCATGAAACATTGTTAATTGACCCATTTTTACAAAAGTTGTTATGACCCTTTGACTTTGAAATTTTATAATAATTCATTGTTTTTCGAACTTCCATTTTTTTCTTTTGCTATACTAATGAGTTGAGATTTTTTGTATGTTACTTGTTATTGATGACTTACAGATCAAGTTCAAGTTTCATGTTAATTGACCCATTTTTACAAAAGCTATGGCCATTAGACTTTGAAAATTTGTTGTGCTTGTTCACAGGGAGATTATTCTTGGTATGTCTCTTGATTTTGATGACTTACCAATCAAGTTCGAGTTTCATTATATGATTGACCTGTTTTTACAAGAGTTATTGCCCTTAGACTTTCAAAATTCCTATATAATTATTCATCGTTTTGGGGCCTTTTTTGCCGACCGCGTGGCGCAGTGGTTAGAGCGTCTGCTCTAGAGTCGCAGAGTAAGGAGTTGATTCTACGTCGCGGGTTCGAATCTCACTGTGGGACGTGGAGACCGGTCCTTCGGATGAGACCGTATAAACCGAGGGTATCGCAGTAGGTGCTGGCACGAAAAAGATCCCTCAAAGCTAAATGGCCCTTAGTGCTGAGTATAGGTCAAAATCTGCAGTTCTCCACCGGCAAGTGATGGCGTCTCCATATGAGTGAAAAATTATCGAGAGAGACGTTAAACAACAAACAAACAAACAAACAACAAACAAATGGGCCTTTTTTATGACTTTGCCTGTAAGTGATCACCATTTCATGCAGCTTTTAAAAAGTATGTTGTGGTATAGACAACTCACTTATTCCAGAAAACAAAGGCAGTAGTATGGTATTTTATCTTTGTGCCATTTCCATCTATTATTTTCGTATTCTTGGACTTTCACAGCGGGGGCATTCGAGTCACCCTGATACAAACATGGCCGTAGGAAACGGGGGGGGGGGGGGCTGTGTCAGCTGTATATGTGGACTCCGGACCGTGGCTCGAGACGATGATCAGAGACATAAACAATTATATCATGTTTTTTATGTCTCTAGTTCATATATACAAATTTGACAAACTGAACAGCTGCTGAAAGTGAGTCGGCCCCCATCCTAGTCCTAGACTCGTCGGTTCTAGCTGCAGAACTGTATGTAGCGTTATGGATTTATTGGATTTACATATTACATGTAGTCTTTGACCAAAACCTTATAGATCATGACAGATCCCGTAATGCAAATAAGGTGCAATTTACGGTGCAAGATTTTCCGCGCACTGTTGGGGAGAATTTCTTCACTTTCCAGCACTGGTCAATCAACTACCTTTCACTCCCTAAGAATTTCTAGACACATTTTTAAATCAACCTGTACATTTTATCCACCCCAGTCCCAACCCTTTATAGTTGTCTCTATAGACCAATATTTACATTTCCAATGTCTTTGTCCGCGATAAAATTACAAATTGTAAAAATACTTTATTTCTACTGGTTCATCGATAGGCGCGGTTATAAAAAATCACGTGCGGGGCGGGACAAACAGAGACAGAAGCGGGGCTATTAGCACGGGAATTTGCAGAATCAGGAGCATGTAAATATAAGGAATAACTGTCAGATTTTTTGGATTCATGACGATGATCAATTGATTGGCTTGCGTAATAATTTTATGCATAAACGCCGAAGGCGTTTATGCAAATTATCACGCAAGCCACTCGATTGATCACATCATGAATCCAAAAAATAGGACAGTTATTCCTTAAATAAACTGGCCTGTTTTGAATTTTTTGTCGGATGGCAGAAAATTCAAAACAAGCGAGTTTACTGGTCTATAGAGACGACTTCTCAGAATTTTCCCCAACAGTGCGCGGAAAATCTTACGCCGGAAATTGCACCTTATTTGCATTACGGGATCTGTAGCGTTTTGGTCAAAGACGAATATATAAAACCAAAACGCTACAGTTCTGCAGCTACTTCGGTTCTTACTGACCTATAAAAAAGAGAAAGAATTTTTAGAACAAAAGGCAGTCTTCAAAGAAATGGAACGCAAATAATAATTGTTGCATTTGCGGAAAATTATAATTGCTTGGCCTATGATTATTAGAATCGGGTTTGAGATTCTACAATCTCGCGAGAAGTCGGTCTTTTTGACGAGAATCGGGTCGCGGAAACAGGTGTAAAGTCGTAGTTGTAAAGTTATAAATGAAATCTATAGTCATCTTATGTGATTTGCATGTTAAATGAATAACAAACTTTGTTGATCAATGAAATTGGAATAAATGACATTTAAGCATTTAATTATTTTTGGGTTCAAGAGTATCAGAAGCATTACATTAGCTGTTAAATAATAGAGATAATTCGAACTCATACCGACGAGGATTGAAGAAATAATCATAGGTTTTAACCTACTTTAACTAGCTTTACTGTCTATTTTAGGAACAATGGGTGCGTACAAATATATGCAGGAAATTTATAGAAAGAAGCAGAGTGACATTTTGAGATTCCTCTTGCGTGTGCGCAGCTGGCAGTATCGCCAGTTATCGTCATGCCACCGTGCACCACGACCCACTCGCCCCGAGAAAGCCCGAAAGCTGGGATACAAAGCTAAGCAAGGTACACATTAGTAGATATAATGGCAGTACGCTTATAAATTTTGGATTTTCCTCTTTCATCTGAAATCGCACAAGTATGGTGGCGTATTTCTGTCACCATCTGTCAGGTGTTTATGTCAACTTATCAGATCATAATCATCTTGACTATGAACTTGGTTTCTTGTTAACAAAGTAATTTAGCAATTCTCGATCCATATGTTTATGTTGACTTGTCAGATAATTATGTCAACTTGTCAGATAATTATGTCAACTTGTCAGATCTTTATGTAATTATGAGCGTAGTGAGTTGTGCAAAGCAGTGCTCGCCACTGCTAGCTCTTAAAGCCACACATGGGCGAAGAGAAAATTTTGACTTTGTACATTGATCCAAATGATATTTTTTCCGCAGTTACCTCAAGACCCACAATGCAATGTGAATGCATCTCACAGCTAACTAAGTTCTCACGGTTACAAAAGTTCACCAAAAAATAAACTCACCTTGATTTAATGGATATTGCAGATAAATAATAAAAGTAGATTATACGTACTTGGTTAAAATTTGCATTTTTCACACTTCTTTGAAAATAGCAATGCAACTAACATATGACGTCATGTGACATCATATCTCAGTGTTTTCCCTAAGAACTGACCACTGGCCAAATTGACCACTTCAACTGATAAAATAAAAAAATAAAAAAATAATTGTTGTAATGTCTACAAAGATTTTTTCATAAACCTCACCCTTAGCTGTTAAAATTCATATATATAACTCTTTACTTTGAAATAAAGGGAAAACACTGAGTCGAGATGTTCCAAATGTCTCAGGCAGTTTGAAGAGGCAGATCTGAGTTTTTAAAAACTGAATAGGTATCTAATAATATGCATCTGTGCTTGCCCTAACGGTCGCACCATCAACATTAACATCATGACTAAGAACTCAGTTTCTTGTTAAGCATTTTAATGCCACTAAGTGACATTTACTTATCTTAAAATCTGACAAGTCAACAATTTTCCGATTCTGAGTAGCCTCGCCCAGTATGGATTTCCACTTCACACTTGGATGACTCCATATTGGGTGGCAAACTATGTATCTATGTAATAGTATTCCTTCTCCTAGGATATCATTTAGGGCTGAAACGATTCACCGAAATATTGATATTGTTCAATGTTACTGCTCCGTTCAATGTTTGATTCACTATCTCAATTTTCGATTCGGTACGTTTTTTTATAATCGGGTTTGGTTACTCCTTGAAATAGTTCGGGTTTGACCTCATTTGAATAGTTTGACAATTGACACACACAAGGGAGAAAATTGCGGTGGAGAAAGCTTCAGAGCAGGCTGCCACTGCTAGTATTGACACAAACAAAGTGCTCTTTTAATCTACAGAAGCACAATTAGTGCTCTTTATTGTATCACCACCTTTTACTTGCCTTTTGAAATCTGAATACATGTTTTCTTTAACCTTATGATTTCTTTCTTTTTCAAAATGTATCATATTGAAAAAATTGAATTGTGACACGAGTATCACGATACATACCGTATCGTGGAGGGGGCGTATCGTTTCAGGTCTAATATCATTCTTAACATAACCTCTAAGAATTTCTGTGATACACACTACAAAGTACAAATGCTACAAATGATTATGGTCCATAAGCCTATTTAATTAATAACATTTTTATGGGACTCTTTAATCTATTACTAAAGTCAATAAAAAGTCGGAAAAGTCCCAAACTGAGTTATCGGTATGTTTCATAAGTCATGGTCATGCAATGCTGATGAGACATAGAAATCAATAATTGTTTCAAATATTTGTCATAGGTTTTGTCATCTACCGAGTCCGTGTTCGTCGTGGAGGCAGAAAGGTCCCTGTGCCCAAGGGAATCACCTATGGTAAACCCACAACTAGTGGTGTGAACCAGAAGAAATTCCAGCGATCTCACAGATCTATTGCTGAGGTATAGTGTCACTTAGGTGATCATGTACTTATTAATCCAGGATTTAACAGTTGTTGTAAACATCAAAAATTATTGATGGGTATTTTTACTCTGCAGGAACGTGTTGGAAAAAAATGTGGTGGACTGCGTGTACTGAGCTCTTATTGGGTGGCACAGGATTCCTCGTACAAGTTCTTCGAAGTCATTTTGGTTGATCCCTTCCACAAAACCATCCGCCGTGATCCCAAGCTTCAATGGATCTGCAATCCAGTACACAAGCACAGGGAACTACGTGGTCTCACTTCTGCTGGCAAGATGTCTCGTGGACTTGGCAAGGGACACAGATTCACCAAGACCATTGGAGGCTCGCGTCGTGCAGCATGGAAGAGGAACAATTTGACAAAAATGCGCAGAAAGCGTTAAAGTTTTCTTTCACATTTTTTTCCTTTTCCTTATTTTTTCTCATCTCTGAGTCTCTCAGGATGAGCAAATCTCCTTGTAAGTTTTATTGTCTGTAGACTACGGAATAAACATGGAGAATATTAGCCTCAGGTCTTTGTGGTTTTCTTAGATTTTCTTGTGGGAAAATTAATTTCATAATTGAGAAGTTGTATGTTTAACATTTTACTTGACAATCCTCTGACAAAGGCATTTTTATGATTCAATGCATGAAAATGTAAGAAAAGGAGGTATAGAAACAGATGGCCTTTCTTTATCTTTGCTAGTATAGGCTGGTAAATCTGAAAGGGCTCTCTAACATTCTGAAATTTTTCAATGACGTAAAAATGACTTCTTGGTCAAGATTTGGGAATATGTCATCAATTGAATTTAAATTGGATATGTTTGTTGACCAGTGTAATTGATTTTCAAAAGGTATTATTGTAATAACATCCATTTTGGGTTCATTGATTTTTAGTAAAGTTGATCAGCCCTTGCCTTTTTTAAAAATAATTGATGTGGAAAAGATTGACAAAGTCAGTACTCAGTAACAGTGCCATTCCATCCTCTGCATTGTTGCTAATGTTTCTGTTGAGTGGTACAATGTAGAGAATCAGCAATGGGAGTTTTGAAGTGCCAATGACTAGAGGTGCTTTTCATATGATGCTGCCGACTATTTTCATTGTAGATTTTCTAATTGAAAGGTCAATCAGAGATTGACATGGATGGTATGTTGTTGGATCCTTTTTGTTGCAATCTGTGTGACCTGTTAGCAAGTAGATAATTTTGATGCCAAGAAAAGCATGGTTAATTAATAACTAGTTGAGTTTTTCTGATTGAAAAAAAAGAAAACATATGTATGTTGGTTATTGTAAATTTTTCACATCTTGACTTCATGGTGGTAATTCCAGCCTACAGCCCTAATTGATTTGGCACAAAGCTTCCCAAGTGATGGAGATTTGAATGAAGAGCATTGCCCTTTTCAAGTGGGTATAATTGAGAAAAAGTATGAAGTCATATAAAGATTCATAGACTTGAAGGACAGCACACTTGATAAATTTCTAGGTAGTGCTTACCCAATGACAATCTGTTCCCCCAAAACTCTGAAGTCTCTACAAGCCAACTACAAAGGGTTTTCTGTCCACTTTGCTTGTTTAAAGAAGATACAAATATTTTCACTGTATACATCTAAGAGACAAAACAGTTTGTAATCGTCCATACAGCTTCATTCAATAATATAAACAACAGGTGCTGCAACAGTAAAAACTTTTACCAAAATATTATCCCCCCCCCCCCCCCACGTGATTGAAAATGCTCAGAATGGAGATGTATCTTGAAAAGCGTTTTTTCATGCATTCTTAACATAACCACAAATAACGGCGTTGCAATATATTTTTTCAAAGGCATATTTCAATGGGAGAAAAAAGTATGGCCTGGTACTGCAGCTATTGCCTCGTGTGACATATTAAAATCGATAAAGTAACCCACCCCCCTTTCCCCTCCATAGTAGGTTTTCCTTTCTTTGCAATTTCTCACCAGAGAGTGTAATACGCTACGCTTTTAGTGGATCGACCATAGCGGGAAGGATAACTGGGTAGATTGCCCTCGTTGATGAAGGGTATTACATCTCGAACGAAACACTCCACGAACGATTTAACATTTTTCTATTGAACCCGATGCAAATAAATGTATTTTTCATTGATTTTAATATTATATCCATAGAATGAAGAAAAAAAATAAATAATGTACTTGAATTCTTTTCTTGACAATTTCTTTTGTAATCAAAAGATAAAACCGGAATTTTTTTTCTGATTTCCCCCCCCCCCCAGGTACTCGATTAATATTTTTCTTTGCGTTAATTAGCCATGTCGGGAAACTAAGGGCGCTCTGAGAGTCGCCCAAGTCGTGACAAGCCATATATTCTAATCAGTGGTTTAAATAACAGGGGTACGAACTGATTGCTTACTTACATATATATACACCAATAACTGTTGAAATGCTGTATGGCTGAAGTAATTGATACTACTGTTACTAAAATGCATCTTTGCAAAACTCCCGTATCCCACTTAATGAGGACATGATTTTAAACTGAATAGAATCTAGTCCTAAATTTACCGAAATGGCATCAGACGACCGTTTTTCGATGACAACTGAAAAGTATTTAGGTGAGTTACCTTAGATACTTGATGACATACTGCTTTTGAAACAGTTTCAAGAACACACTTGTAGGCCCCTATTTTTCAAAAGCAAGTATGTGATCTTCCAAGAAGTTTTAAAACTTCAATGAAAGGTAGTATCAGGCTTCATATGATTCTTATATGTACTTGAGGAACCAATGAGGAAAAAAATTAGATCCAAGAATATCCATATTGCCATATGCTTCATGCAGCAGCACTAGCTTTTTGAAAACGATTTCAGCTGTAACATACAATTTTTACCAGTTAGAATAATCTATAACTGTGTCTCGGGACACGCTGTCATCGGTTCTGTAGGACATTATCATGATTTTAATGATTAGAACATTCTATCTATACAATTACAAGCTTTATTCATTTTGTGATGACCAGGCCTTTGGATCATGAAATGCCTTAATTCGAAATCTGCATGTTGTGCTGAAATGATATAGAAGTCAAACAATCCAATATAATAATAAAATATCCCATTTTGCATATAGCCAAAGTGTTGTTATCTGCAAGCCAGTATTAGGGTTTATTTTCATAGTTAATAACCATCTTGCAGATGATTGAAATTTTATCTTAGGACTAAGTTTGTTTCATGATTTTTGGGATATGCATAGACTTCAGGGGTCTTGGTTGAGTTCGAATCCTGGTTTGTCACATTTTCTCTTCCTGTTTCATTTTTATTGCAAATGTGCAACACTAAAAGAATACATACAGTATTTATACTCATAGCGGGTGTAAGTTAATGTCATTGTGAAATAATGAGGTTTTTAAAAGGATGTAATTGTTCATAATTTTGTCTTTAGCAAAGCATCATGTTCTTGTGTATATGGAGGATGCTGTTGCTCAGCTGTTGGAACACAGAGAAGAAAACTCCAAAATTAACCCTATCAAGTTCTTATGTGAATAGTATGTAGCTCATCAAAGCTTTTTAAAAAAACATTATAATCTAATTCAGAATATTTAACTTTTTCTTTAAAGCTCAATTTTCATTTATTGTATGATACAAATTAAAGTGCAAATAATTTCAGGCTTTGTACCAATAGAAAGTAATTTACTCTTCTGAATGAAAATTTTTTTTCATATTGATTAGCATAATTAGTGCTTTATTTAATTCATTGAGATTTTAAATTTCAGTTTCAATAGTGTTCGAGATGGGAATCATACCATGTTCCGAGAGTACAGCTATATCCACGCTACACAGCACAATAGGGCATCTTTTGTCCGACTGTTCTGGAAGTGTTATAGGCAAATAGGAAAGAAAGGAGGTATTTATCACAATTATAAAGGGATCTACAGTCAAACCTTGTAATTTGAACTTGGTTATTTTTTGAGAAAAAACTGAGAGATGTTTGTGGATTCAAAATATTGTAAAACTCTCTTATAAAAAACACACTTGTAATGAATCACACTTACTGCAAATTGATATTTTATTCCCCATGGTTTTGAAACACATTGTAAAATTAACAGATAAATGTATAACAAATTACATTTATAACAAAGCAGAATTGTTCGCTTTAAGCATGTTTTACTGTACATGTATATGAGGTTAGAATACATAAAGAAAGAGTGGTTTGGACATCCAACTCACCTTGAAATACAAAGTTCAGGTTATATTTCTTCACCTGTCTGATTTCACTTAAGTCTCAAAATGGTCATATGATCATGATGTGTAAAATTACATAGCTCCTATAGAACATATTCATTTGAAATTGTAAAGAAAAGTGATTTTCAAGAGGAATGGTGGCTGCATGAGCATCACATGCTTTAAAGTAGTGTTGTGGAAGCTCCAAGGGGTTAAGGTACATTACTTTTAAGGGACAAAGAGATTCAATGATATTGTTCCACTCAAAATTCGCTACAACTTTGCTAATTATTATCAATTTGCATTTAATAAATGATAGGAAAAATGTATTGTGAAGCATAGTGGATTATTTACTGCATTTTACTGTGTACATTGATAATTCCAGATTTGTTGAGCATCCAGGAATATCACTCCCTCTTATCTCTCCTGTGCTCTGACTTTCCATTTGAACCAGTTCAGAAAACTGCAAAGTAAGTTGAACAGATCTTCCTTTAGTTTGTCTGAAAATTTTATTTTGAAGAGTCATTTGCATATTTGATTCATATTTGTATAAAAAATTCTTTTCAAAGTACATGTATTAAGTTAATAATTTTAAAAGGATGTTGTTATTGAAGTACTGGTGCTTGTGCACTACAGTAAAACTCATTTAGGTTGAACACAGATATATAGCAAATTTAGTTATATAGTGAATTTTTTTGCGATCCCCAGAAAAAATTCTGTATAATGTAAAATTATATGACTACATGTATAACTAACTCTGATATGATAAATTATGGATGGAATGAAGTGATTTTGTGTCCTGTAGAGGATAAAAATAAAAATTTAAATCTTTTACAACAAGTTTTTAAAGATCTCAAAATTCAAAATATATGAAGTGAAATTGTGTTTCATTAGTCTGTATATTTGAAATTCAATTCATCAGAAAACTTAAGTATTCCAATGTAAGTTTTGTATGTTTAAAATACTTCCCTGAAAATATTCAGTAGTCATAATTAAAGGAAAACATGAATTGGCTTGGTAACTTTATCAAATTCATTATATGAATACATGTATAACGAATTACAGATATAGTGAAGTAAATTCACAGGTCCCCCAAACTTTGCTGTAACCAAGTTTTACTGTATTAAATTAAATATGTTTATATTCCACAACACAGTATGACTGTTAATAGACAGATAACAATATAGGTGTATACATTTCTTCAGGGAATTTATTATTTTTTTCTGTTTATTATCATTGCAGAATAATTCTTCTGGATGATGCACTGGACTGCTTGATTTCTTTTTCTGACTTTATTTATGCATTCCAAGTGCAGTTTTATTTTGAAGGTATGCAAGTTCAAAGCTTTCTTTTGCTGAATGGATACTTTTTGTAAATGACTTAAGTCAGAACCTTTTGCTTTTAAGCTCAACTGAGCTGAAAACTCAAGTGAGCTTTTCTGATCACATTTAGTACATTGTCCATCTTTCTGTCTATCCATCTGTCTGTAAACTTTTCACATCCTTAATTATTCTGAAGAACCACTTGGCCAATTTCAGCCAAACATGCCATTAAGCATCCTTGGGCAAAGGGGATTTAAGTTTGTTCAAATGAAGGACTACACCCTCTATCAAGGGGAGGTAATTAAAAATTAGCGAAAATTTAATGGCATCTTTTAAAAATCTTCTCAAGAACCACCGGGCCAGATAAGATGAAACTTTGGAGAACATGGCTCAGTGGTCATAGGTGTTAGTCAGTAACCCAAAGGTCACTGGTTCAACTGTGGGCACTTGATGTTGTGTGTTTTGTCTTTTGACTAGGCAATTTATCTGCATTGTCTGAGTCCACCCACCAGCAATGAATACCAGCTATTATGCTATGGGTTAAGCTGCGATGGGCTGGTGTCTCATTCAGTGACTCTCATCCACTTAGCACCACAGAAACCGGGTTTAAGCACCGGCCTTATGAGCCTCATGGCTCGAAGGAGGATTTAACTTTTAATGAGATCATTTGTTATATTTATTTTGGCTACAGAGTTCATAGAAAAGAGCCATGAGATGTACCTATCCCTACTACAGACCCAGCGGAGCCCAAGAGACCCCGTGGTGGTCCCCTCAGGTAGTGATGATGCAAAAGTTCATCAGAACAGTCACCACCCAGCAGACGGCGTGGACGCCAACCAGTATTTCCGTGCAATATACCCCCTCTGTGATAGATCCAGTTTTAGGTATTTGTACTGTCGATGTAGTTTTAAATTTGTTCTAACTTGAGCCATTGTAAACAATATGAACATGAAGGGAGCAAGATTTAATTTTATTTATATGTCCATGAATAGACTATTTTGTGTTTGTTTGTATTTGAATGTTTGTGAGTTGCCCACTCTGTCTTTTTTTGCAGTACTCCGCCTGTAAATGCATTGAAGGAAATCTTGTTTAATGTTCCAAGGGTGTCATTCTACGGCTTTCTGATGTCCATAGCCAAAAGTGAAACTATTAATGAATACATTGGTATGGATCCTTTTGCAAATGATTTATACACGTACTTAGTTCATTGTTTTTAGGCAAACATCACAATGAGTTGGTGATCTGCTTATTTCTTTTACAACATTACATCGAGTACCTATTGAAAGCCATGTTGTATCCACTCATAGGAATCTTCAATATTTTAACCTGTAAGGTGTTGGTCTCCAGTTTTGACTTTGTTTTGTTTTTATGTAAATCAAGTCTGTGTGCATAAAAAAAACAAAGTGGAAATAACTGAAGAGGTAACACATGTACATCTGTGGTTGTATTCATCCTAGCTGCAATAATGTAGTCCTCTCCAATTTACTTTTTGAAGGGGGAGGGAGAGGGGGAGGAGCCATCTCCCAAAAACATCAGACAAAAATTTGGAGAGGGCTACATAATTGCAGCTAGAAATGAGATTGATCATAGGATTGTCAGCTTTAACTCTTGAAAACTTTTTCTTCATCATTATCTCTTAACCTGGAGGTTTTACTGTTTTATTTTTAGGCCGACTACCATCAAAGGCGGAGCTGCTGGAGGGGGCGGACGCTGACTTGACAGTGTAAGCTTTCTCTAATCTTCACTAACCTTCTAACCTCTGCACAGAACAATTTATTCTCCATAATCTGGATGGGTAGAGACATTGTATGCATCTCACAGCTCACAATTTACTGAATCACAGCTCAGTGTGTAGGGATCTCAATATGTGTACTAACAAACAACTTAACAGTTAAGATTAAGAATAAATTGCCACTCTATATATGTAAATTTGAAGTGTTGAATTAGATTAAGACCCTTGTGCTGGGTTGCAAATTTAACTCTATATAAGAACAAATATAGCTGAATAGTTGTGTGAAAAAAAATGTTCATAGTACTAGTATTAATTTGTATATGTACGTTGCTTGTAATATTTCATTAATGTTTATAGTAAAAGATTTTCTAAAACACACTGCATGTCAGTTGTCAAACTAATGTCATCTCTCCAAGCCTGAATATGGAATGATGTCTTGAGAACACACGTTTAAAAACGACTGCATGTTAAAAAATTGTACATATATTAAAAGTACTGCATGTTTGCATGACTTGATGTGCTTTGCCCATTCAAAATCAACAATATATTGCATGCTGTACGTTACACAACACACTTAGTTCTTGCAGTGGAAATTTGATGTGGTTTTATAATACTGATGAGATTTTTCCATTTGGATGTGTTGAAAATGTTATTGTGTTCATAATTTTGCTGACTGTTTTCAGACAAGAGGCTGCCATTCAAAATCATGCCAGGTAAATTCGTGCAAACACAAGTTCCTTTTGCACAACTGCAGTTATGATCATACTAAAAACTCCAAAGCCACTGTTACTTGAATTTTGTGTTATGTTCTTATTAACAATTATTTTTCTTGAAAAAGTTGGGAGATTTAGTTTGGAAAAAGTTTTAGATGTGATTGAATTTAAATGTCTCTGAAAGATAGAGCTTCATAGTATTTGAGTGAAAACGGAACATCTATGCAATTCTGCAATTCAAGGAAATTCAGATGTAAGACAGATTTCTGTCCCCTTGCTAGAGTGAAATTAATCAACAAAAGTAATAAATGCATTTTTAACAAAATACTTTTAAGATTCCTCAACAAAGTAGTATTATTAACAACAACAATAGAGCTAGAGGATAAAATTTTAGATGAATTAAACTAACAATAATGTAGATTATTTGCTATCCAAAGTATATAAATGTATAATGTATTCCAACTTTACCCCATATATATTGATATAACCTGTCATTGAAATGTTGATTAATGTTGAGTGAATTCATGAAAAGCACAGAATCACAGGCTTTTACAAATATACATGTCTACCCTTTCAATGTTGTTGAGTGGTTCCTTTCTTGTATTTATTAATGGAATTGTGAAAATGCATGGAATTTAAAGACCAAGGTTGAAAAAAGGGTGAGCTCAATTTTATCAAAAGTTGACTTTCAGTTATTAAAAAAATATTTATTTTTCATCTAAGAAACTCAGATCTTTTTTTATGTCTATCCAAACTCAGTATTAGTACTAAAGTTAGTGCATTTGTCAGAGGTGAACATTACCTTAATGCATTTAAGGTTTAAAGAATGATCATGTGACTTCTTTAACCAATCAAACACTCTTGTCCATTTTCACAGTGAGGCCACTGAGGATAATAATAATGGTAATGATATTAGGGTACTAATGGTTATGATTTTTGATGAGGTAGGGGTAAATGATTGTAGTTTGACATAATCACATCAACTTCTGAAATGCACATTTCCCATTGTTGATTGAAACTTTAATTTTTGTGTCAATTGAAAGATTAATGAAAAAGGATTTGAATTTTTTTTTTTGCACACGTCCTTAAGAGTTTTCCACCAGTTAGCCCTTCCCCCTTCTCTCCTCCCCTTTTCCTCCCTCTTTCCTTACAAACTGAGTTTATATCAGAAGCTTGCTACATAAATGTCTAACACTGTACTATTAAGAAAAACTCCACCTTTAATTAAAGAACATAAAATTCTTATCCATTTTGGAGGTAGGTAAGAAAATTTTGCCCAGATTAATATCAACCAGCATCAGATGCCCTTGGCTAGTTGTGATCACTTTGTCTATCTCTCTGTCCATCTGCTAACACTTTAAAGTGACATGACAACTAAAATAACTTTTTTTTTTATATCCGAAGTACTGGTACACATCACATTCACGATATACATAGATGAAAAGTTTATCACAGAAAATTTTGGGGTTCTTTTAGTCAGTATCAAAGGATTAGAGTTATGAGTGTACTTAAAGCCCTGGATTAATTTTGACAATTTCCATATCTGGACAAAATGATGGAGAATCTATGTATATTTCTGTAATTGTTGGTTTTCTGTATCAGGTCTGAGACTGTTACCCTGTACTAGATATAGTAGCTATACCATTTTGATACAGTCATATCATAGCATATTTAATTCCAGATATGTATTGTATTTTGTGATAACTGTCTCTAATAAACTTATTAAATCCCCCCCCCTTCCCCAAATATCATTTGTTATGCCATGAACTAAAACAAAACCTGTATAAGCAAAAGTTTATGCAGCACTAAGGACAGTAAATTTGTACTGGGCAATAATGGTGCCAACAATTCGAGACTTTCTGCTGTTGAACAGACAACTCTTTTTCCATAATAGCAGCAGCCAATGAACTCTCCACTGTTTATAATGGGATGTTGTGGCCTTGTGGGTGCTCAGTACAGTAGGGTGAGGTTTTTTCAACATCTCCTCATTAAACCAAAAGGTGATTTTTGAAATGCTATTCTAGAAGGGCCAATTCTTTAAAAGTTTTTTTTAATGTAAGGGTGATGAGGAACAAGAATGGCCAATATGTGACCTATGATTGAGATGGGGAGGTTTTCAACTTCTTGAAAATGAATGCGAGTCGTCAATGTGTGACCTATCATTGAAATGGGGAGGTTTTCAACTTCTGGAAAATAAATGCAAGTCTTGGCAAATGTGTTCTGTTTGTCCAAGGCTTTGATGAAAAATACATGTACCAACAAAATACATAAATTTTCAACTTCCTCTCCACTTCATCTTGTAATTAAACATACTAGGACCATTTCCTTAAGTTATTATCACTTGACATGAATACTGGAGGCATTTTGTGTTGATTCATTTATCAAAAAAATCATTTTTGTTAAATTCCAACTTTATTAGACACAGAGTCCATCTTTAATCAAGATGATAGACACAGTGTAAGCATATTTCAGGTCAAGGACATACATATGTGTCAAGGTTAAATAGAGTGTTTAAAACATTTCATAAATATTGTACATGTATAATGAAGATTTGGGAATTCCTTTTACAACGCATGTTCATATAAATTAAAAAAAATATTATTAACTTAAAGTAATGATATAAAACATAGTTTTTACAGATCTTTGCAGTGATGGAGACTTATTTGAATAATAATTTACATTGCTTCAGTTCTGCTTTTAAGGTATTGGTGGAGGGTAACCTGTTGTTAATTTAGTTTTTAGTTAAATATTACATGTATCAATTAGTTAGCATCTATAATAATTAATTATACAGCTTTTATTAATTAAATATTTAAACTTTTTTTTTTCAAATAAAGTATTTTTTCTTCTTTTGTACTAGTATATAATTATAAATGTTGTCTTGGTTTATTCACTTTTTCAAATATATATTTACGTATTATTCTTTATTGTCTTTTTAACTAATATGTTATATTTTTTCTAGCACCATGCAACATTAAGTTTCACCCAACCTACATGAAATATTCCTCTGTGTTTTCATTTAATTTCATCTATATCAGAAGTTTATGTGATTAAGTTTAGAAAGATAGGTCAAAGTTGTGAATTTCTTACAAATTGGATTGATTTGAAACTGAAGAAAAAGTTTTAAGCATTCACCAATGCTGTACATGCATGTAATTTATGAAACCAAATCAGAGGTAAAATGTACTATCAATGAAATGGTTCATTATTTACTAAATTAACTATTTCAAGGCATAAGTGTTCATCACATAAAATGCAACCAAAGATTCTGTGTTTAAATTATAAACCTGCTTATGTGATGTTAAATTGTAAGTGCTGAAATCTGAAAGTCTTTTTGTATGCTGATTCAAAATGGATTCTTTTCTGTTTAGCCCAACAGTAAGATTAAGCAACAACAGCACTGCTGCCACAACCAAGTCCAAAGGTCGTCCCATTTCTGCCACAACTCCGACAGATGCCACTCAAAATGTTTACTCCACCCAGAGACCTCCGTCAGCCAGTCAAAGAAAAACTCCGCCCACTCGAGCAGGGGCCGTCAACAACAGCATGAAAGTCAAACGGGGCACCATAAAAAAAGACAGCACCGATGAAAGTAGTTCTGACGATACTGATGACACAACAGACACAAACTAACAAAAACCAACTGGAGTCTCAGAAAACCATGACATTTAATGTTTTTCTTTTTTTTTTTGGTCTGGTAGTTTTATTTGAAATATTTACATGTTTGTGCTAAAATTGTTAATTATGCAATATTCTTGACTTTTTTTCCCTAATGGTCATTTGTCTATGTCTAAGAAAACCCCTTGCATTCTTTCGATACATTTACATGTACAGTTGCTAATTTTGATTTCGTTTGTGTTAGTACATTGTATATGCAGGAAAAATTTAATGAACGGCTTCTAATCATTCTAATGTACCTTTCAGTACAAGTAATGCTTTTACATTTGTTTACTTGTTCATTGTACAGTGAATACATGTTAAACTTACATGTATTAATGATTTTGTGTAGATGTGTGTGCTTAAGACAACAATAAAGTATAGTAATAGGGTTATATGTATTAGAATATGTGTACTCAAGTTTTGTTTGAAAGAGCAGTATGAAAAGGATTAGGAAACTTATATTTTTAAAACATATTCATTAGTTTTAAAAATGACATGTACTGGTATTTAGATGACTTGTGTTTGTTGTGCATTCTCTGACAGTTTAGAATAGTGAAACTGTTGAAGCACTTTGAGATTGTTATTTGGGAAAAAGGAGATGTTTTCACCTCAATTTGTTTGTCATTTATTAATGAAGAGAACAGACCAGACAACAGTTTCTTACTGTTACACTTGAATATTGGGCTGTTGTTAAGTGTAGAATAATTGAAATAGGGCAATACTCCTGCAAGTTAATTGTTAAATGCACACGCAAGGGAGTTAAGGCTAGGTATAGGCATTTCTATGCAAATAAACTAATTAAAATGCCTAAGGACTATATCTATTGTACAGAGAAAGTTAAAACTTATTGATGATTATCTAATAATATACTTGGTACCCATGACATGAGATATCAAGTACACATCATGACATCATTGTTCTTTACTACACAAGATTTATATATAAAGGATATCAACAAAAAAGCTTCGGCGCAAGGGCATGCTCTATTTCATTTAACTGAAACGAGGTATAGAAGCAAAATATTCCAAGGATTGCTGCACAAATATCAACAACTCAGTTGTTTAATTACTATTTGTAAAGTTTTAAGTTGAATCAGGGTAAAATGCACAGTCCGGTATAACTTTCCTCAGATTCCGATCAAATGAGAAAACGCCTAGGATTTGTGCAGCAGTTTTATTATTCTATAGAATATTCTTGTTAGCATTATACAAATTTTTATGTAAAATTAAATAGAGTAATCCCTTGCGCCAAAGCTGTTTTGTTGATGTGTTTTATTACCTCCAGTATGTAAGAACAATGACGTCATAATATGACATCATAATCTGTACTGGCTACATGTTGTGGGTACTAGGTATTTATAAGAAAATAAATTGAAACTTACTCTGAATTATAAATATACCTCTTGTGCATTTTTGCAAGCTCATTTGCATAGAAATGCCCATACCTAGCCTCAACTCACATGCGCACAAAAATCTTGGAACTGTACATTTATATGCAATGTTGAATACTTCTCCATAGCTCATGGTTGATACTAAAGCAATATTTGACACCACATCAATATATTTGGTTGATCAATCTAGTAGATGGCTCAACATAGCCTTGCTGTCTATGAGATATTGATCAACCCAACATATTTCAATAGATGCCAAGAAACGAACCTAATATTAAAAGAAATAGTATCAAGACGTTAGATATTCTGGAAAATTTCATCCCAATCTTCCTTTGAAAGAGTTAATGTAAAACAAAGTCTGATAAAGGCCCCGTTCCTCTGAAATGGAAAAGCCTTTTAACCCCCCCCCCCCCTCCTTCCAATACTGGTGTACAGGAAATGTATGGAGTACAAGGCCTCTACAATTCTTTCAAGATAATTTACTAGTACAAAATTGTACTTATTTTAAATATTAAGTTTTATTTCAAGGAACTGATCTTGGAGTATTAATACATGTATTTGCTTAAAAGGTACTATGAGCAAGCTCATAATACAGTCAAACCTCGTTATCTCGAACTCTATGGGACCATGAAAAAACTTCCAAGATATCCGAGGATTTGAGGGTAAAATACTTAAAGAATAAGCGGTTGGGACTTCCAAATCACTTCAACATATCCATGGTAATCGAGATATCAGTGTTAGAGATACGCAAGTTCAACTCTATATCTCAGCTGCATTTTTAATTATTACTATTATTTACATTCAATGTTTTTTTTTCTTATAGAATTATGAACCAGACACATACTTAAAACACTTTTTCTGCCAAGGACTTTGTCCAAATGACCTTGTGCCAGGGTCCTGACACACCCTCATGATTGAGCAATCTCAAGTATGAAGTTTTTTCAATAAGATATTAAAGGCAAGGACAGGCATTATACATTTTTCTGCAAGTGACCTTGATCTTGCCTAAATGCCTTGACTCAAAGTCATGACATACCTTCAGGTCTTAAGTAACCTTTATGAACTTCCACTGTCTTTCCATGAGAAATTATGGACCATACACAAATTGTACTTTTTATCTGCCAGAGATCTTGAACTTGTCAAATGACTTGGATTTAGGTGACGACACACCTCCAGGTCATATTAAGCAATGTTTGTTTTGAGCTTTGATCCAATATTAGAAGTTAATATGATGGGATTCCTACATGACTCCCCCTCCAAATTTGGGGGGGGGGGGGGTATTGAAAATACAGTATATTTCAAAAACGAAAATGATTAATATATCATAGAATTTTTTTTTAATTTATTCAACTTTCATACAATGTACACTCTTGTTTCATTTCTCATATACATGTAATGCATGTGTCACTCTAACCAAACAATTGAAGCTAAACATATACTTTAAGTATTATATGAAATAACTTTTAATTGAAGAACAATATTAAATTGTTTGCATGCTTCAAATCTAAACCATTGAATACCCACTAATTAGGATTATCTTCCCTTTATATATTTTTTTTACAGACGAATGAAAAAAAAAACTTTAAAAAATAAAACCATTGTTTTTTGATTATTCAAGAAAATATTCACATATCCAAACTGATTTTTCCACAGCTTCTTCACTCACAGTTCTCAAAAACTTACAATTCTTTCTATTTATCATGTTTATAGTCTTTTATATCAATGTTTGATCCCTTCATTCATTTATACAAACTCGGTGCAAGTCATCAATCAGCATTTCTTTCTACATCTACACGTCTACTTACAGAAACAACAGCTTGTAAGTAAAGATTGCAATCAATACAGGAAAAAAAATCAGGAACAAGAACAACTGCAATTAATTTGTTGCACCTCTCTGAAGCTATTTACTTGATGTACAGAGATACTGCTTCTAAATTCACCTTACAATCCATTAAAAAAATGCATAAAAACTGTGTTTTACACTTTATGAATTTCTCGGAATGCAATTCCTACATGTACACAGATTCTGCATTTAAACTCACTTGTAGGTAGCTGTACACTTTGGGAAAAAATGTATGCATCTTTTAATGTTTTCCTGATCAAAATTGCAATCAGAACAACCAATGTTAGTAAGATCATGATCCAACGATGACCTGAAAATGTCAACTTGACCAGAAGGCTGCAGGTTGTGTATCTGAACCATTAAAAAAAAATTCTTTAAATTTAATTTATATTTATTAGAATTTATTTTTTTTATGATACACAACTTACAGCCTTCATGGTCCATCACCACATCACATGTATGGTCTCCACGATACGTTGTTGAAAAAAAAAACTTGATATTCATTATCTCTGCATTGGTTTTGCATTTTTTTTAAAATCAATGAAATGTAGTAAAAGTTTGTATGTGAAATGCAGAATAAAATGAATATTAAGTTTTTTTTAGTCCTTCAGATCTGTCTGTGATGTTAGTTGGCTCTCTCAGCTGTCCATCACCATCTCTGGCCACGCCCTCTTCCTCGGAAATTTCCTCTTCTGTTGAATCGTCCTCTTCCTCCCTGGGCTGAAAAAATTTACATGAAAGCTAAAAATGGGTTCATAGAGAAACCATGCCCGATCAGAAAGGAAATCAGGCAGCAACTGAGAGATAAACTCCCTTTATATTATGATCTTCCAATTAGTTTTATCATTATTGTGTAGATTTTTAAAAAATATTAAACTTTTGATTATCAATACCTAATAACTGTGCTAAATATTCTGTTCAGCTATTTATGTGGGCTGAATGAAATCTATTCAAGTAGATGGTCAAGGTAATAACTTTGTGGAATGGTAAATAATTGATGAAGAGATTATCTACATGTATGACTGTCTGTTGAAATAATTTAAATGTTATTTAAGAAATGAGCAGAATCACAGAACATGATCTTTATGCAAAAATGTTTATAAACTCAATTTATTTTTTTAAATTTGAATTGATCCATGATACTCTAGAAAACTACTTAAGTAACATTTATTGAAAATTAAAAAGAGCTGATTGGAAGGTATAAGGAAAGTTTCAATTGTTAGCCACTGGAAAAGCTTACTTCACATTATTAAACAATTTTGGTGCTTCCATGCAAATAATCAACAGATAATATCGATAACAAAGAGACATACAGATGAACTTTGTTAACTCGAAAACCCATATCTCCAATAGTCAAGGATGTATATCAAAGTGATTTGGCAGTCCCAACTAATTATTCTGTATGTTTTGTTACCCTGATTATCTTGAATCATTGGATATCACAAAGTTTAATTTAGGCCCCTTCGATTTTGAGATAGCGAGGATTTACTGTATTTTATATTTTTGGTTGTGTAAAGGATTCAATAACACATGTCATCCATACAATTACAATATATGTACAATTCTGTATATCTTACGTGGTGTGAATGTTCCCGCTTTTTCACTGAACTTCCCGCTGGGTGGATGGTACAAGGATCTCTCCTCTTTGTGATGTTTCTTGCCTCCAGCTCCATTGGACTCAAAAGTTATTGGTGTTCTTTTTTGGCTGTAATTACACAAGTGTGTACATGTATATTGCACACTCTACTTTGATCATACTAGGAGACATTGAGGTTTTCTTTCTGCATATTTGATCAATCCATTAATCTTTTACTTAATGCAATACAAAAAGCTTCATAGTGTACACAAAAATCTAAAAAAAAAAAAAATTTGGAAAGAAATTTCAGGAATAGTTGTATTCTCTTGAGTTTATAGAATAAAGAAAGGAAAAAGAGACCATTGACAATCAGACAAACATAGTCAACTGATTAATTCCCAAAATTTTTGGCAGGTTATAAATGGAAATGTAGATCAACTTACCCTGCTAGTGTTGGTGTGCTTGTTGCGGACTTTTCTACAGGTTTCTGGTAAAGAACATCAAAATCATTAATATTAACAATACATGTACTGTATTTGGCCGAATATAATACGCATTGGTGTAAAATATGCACCCCCTTTTTGAGCCTGAAACTGGAAGAAAAAACGCAGTTTGGTTGTATTATACGCAGCAGAAAATTTTACCAAGCGGTGTTCTGAACTTTTGAAAATCGCGGTAATTTGCTATGAAAATCGGCACGGAGATAGAGTGCCGAAAATTTACAGAACACGATATTTTATTCAAATGCGTTTTTATTTCTTAATCTTGACTTTCCATATCGCGGCAATCTGGAGAAATTATTTATTTTAACAAAGCACGAGATAATGTTGCATTAAAGTATTAACAGAGTTTATTATTAAATTTTTTTAGCATACGGTGATATTGAAACTATACGTCGCCGTATTCTAACTATTCTTTGTAGAAATAATTTTATTTCAACAAAGCACGAGATATTGTTGCAAGTTTAACAGTTGTCATATTTATTTTTAGTTTAAGGTAATCATGTTGAAAATTACGTAAATTTAACAGGGCAAGTGATATTGCAACATCAAAGTATTCATAGACTACGATTTTCCTCTTTTGAACTTGAAATTAATTAATTAAATAAATAGCTGATGTTATAAAAATAAAATCAAATTTAACAAGTGTATAAAGTTATCAACACACCTCCAAAGCTGTGAAAAATGATGTACAAAGGTGGGATATATGTCTTAATACATCGAGGTAATCTTCGTGGATATCTTATTTTCTACAGAGCACGAGTAAATGATAACACTTAAGTTTCAACATACTTCATATTTCCTTTCTTAACTCTCAATTATTTTAACACGAGGCCGATATAAGTTAAAGTAAAATTACATTTAACAAGCATTTAACTGTTTAATGTGTCGTAATCACATACGAAAGATCATAAACCAACCCCTGATTTTTAACAAAGAAAATAATCAAAGCCATTGATAAGGGCAGTAAATAATCAGTGCTCTAACTGTAAAAACAATGCTTTGGAGTTGGTAAACAATTTAATTCCTGGAGGGGTGTTGAGGGGTAATTATCAAGTGACAAGCACACGTGTTCACAACATTGGCTTCCATTCATTGGGAGTATAGAGGGGTGTTTATGTTGAAATGAATTTTCACTGAGTTATTTAATTCTAAAATAAATTTTATTTCATTGTATTTCATTAAAAAATGACTTATTACTTTTTTGACCGGTGTCTGATTGATAAGGTACATGTGTACTATGATTACGGAAGCACGTGGCAAAGGAATGTATGAACATCTATAAATAACATCGTTAATGGCGGCCTACACAGAAACGATGAACATGCAGCTCAAATTAATTTTAACTTGCTTTTAAATTTAATTTAACTAACAAAAGGTTATAATATAACATTTTTAACAAGCCTACATTTCAACAATAACTTTCCGAAGTTTTAAATACGGCGATAAACAGCAAACATAGGTAATCAAAGATTACGAAGCTCACCTCGACGAATGTTATCTATATGTAAGGCAAATTTCACATCATATTTTTTTTCTAGTTAGGGTACATCCCAAGATCAATATCCATGCAAGTTTGGTTTAATTATAGATCTGCTCAAAAAACTTTTGACCTGTTTAGTAATCAAGAAAATTTTGGTCAGTTCCAACATCCAAAGCAAGTCTGGAAGTTTTCATCCTTAGATGCACCATCTATGCAAGTTTTATCATAACAGGCCATAATATTATATAGCTACTCCAAAAAATTACCCTGGTCACTCATCTGGAAAATGTACGTCAGATTCAGAATCCAAGGCAAGTCTGGAAGTATCCATCCCTAGATACATCATCCATGCTTATTTGGTTAAAATATGGCTAAAATTCACTCATGTGGAAAATCTAGGTCAGATCCAGCATTCGAAGCAGGTTGGTTAGTGTACATCCCTAGATGCATCATCCATGAAAGTTTGGACCAGGTAGGGCATATAGTTACTTGGGAACGAGACTACTCCTAAATCTAAACCTGGTCTCACATGTGGAAAATCTAGGTCAGATCCAGCATCTGAAGCAAGTGTGGTAGTGTCCATCCCTGGATGCATCATCCATGCAAGTTTGGTCAAGGTAGGGCTTAGAGTTACTTTGGAATGGACCTGCTCCTAAAACTTTAACCTGGTCACTCATCCGGAAAATCTAGGTCAGATCCAGCATCCGAAGCAAGTGTGGTAGTGTCCATCCCTAGATGCATCATCCATGCAAGTTTGGACCAGGTAGGGCTTATAGTTACTTGGGAATGGACCTGCTCCTAAAACTTCAACCTGGTACACATCTGGAAAATCTACATCAGATCCAGCATCCGAAGTAAGTGTGGTAGTGTCCATCCCTAGATGCATCATCCATGCAAGTTTGGTCCAGGTAGGGCTTATAGTTACTTGGGAATGGACCTGCTCCTCAAACTTTAACCTGGTCACTCATCTGGAAAATCTAGGTCAGATCCAGCATCCAAAGCAAGTGTGGTAGTGTCCATCCCTAGATGCATCATCCATGCAAGTTTGGTCCAGGTAGGGCTTATAGTTACTTGGGAATGGACTTGCTCCTAAAACTTTAACCTGGTCACTCATCCGGAAAATCTACATCAGATCCAGCATCTGAAGCAAGTGTGGTAGTGTCCATCCCTAGATGCATCATCCATGCAAGTTTGGTCCAGGTAGGGCTTATAGTTACTTGGGAAAGGACCTGCTCCTAAAACTTTAACCTGGTCACTCATCCGGAAAATCTAGGTCAGATCCAGCATCCGAAGCAAGTGTGGTAGTGTCCATCCCTAGATGCATCATCCATGCAAGTTTGGTCCAGGTAGGGCTTATAGTTACTTGGGAATGGACCTGCTCCTAAAACTTTAACCTGGTCACTCATCTGGAAAATCTAGGTCAGATCCAGCATCCGAAGCAAGTGTGGTAGTGTCCATCCCTAGATGCATCATCCATGCAAGTTTGGTCCAGGTAGGGCTTATAGTTACTTGGGAATGGGACTTGCTCCTAAAACTTTAACCTGGTCACTCATCCGGAAAATCTAGGTCAGATCCAGCATCCGAAGCAAGTGTGGTTGTGTCCATCCCTAGATGCATCATCCATGCAAGTTTGGTCAAGGTAGGGCTTATAGTTACTTGGGAATGGACCTGCTCCTAAAACTTTAACCTGGTCACTCATCCGGAAAATCTAGGTCAGATCCAGCATCCGAAGCTAGTGTGGTAGTGTCCATCCCTAGATGCATCATCCATGCAAGTTTGGTCCAGGTAGGGCTTATAGTTACATGGGAATGGGACATGCTCCTAAAACTTTAACCTGGGACGCCGACGCTAACGCCGACGCCGACACCGACGCCGACGCCGACGCCGGGGGTATAGCATAAGCTCATCTCGACTTCGTCGAGGTGAGCTAAAAATGCATAAGTCTCTAGGTAATACTACGGTATGTGCGTATGGTAGCCATGTTTCACATGAAAGAAAAACCTATCAAAATCCCATTGTGGTGTAAAATACGCACCCCTTTCTCACAGAAAATTATTTTGGGAAAAAAGTGCGTATTATATTCAGCCAAATACGGTATGTGTTACACTACTGATTTATGATTTATGGGGGGGGGGGGGGAGAACACTGGTGATGTAAACCTGTTACATGTATATCAAGTTCTATGATTATCATTGAATTATTCAATTTTTATTATTTTTTATGATACATACCACCAATGGTTTCCATGACAATGTGATGATGGATTTAAAAGATGGAGGACTATGGAAAAGATCTTTGATCATTGTGTTGATGTTGGATGTAATCTTCAGAGCTGCAACCTTAATCTTGTTCTAAAACAAGTGAAATATTACAATGGTTACTCAAAAAGTGCTATCTAAACAAGACTTTTTCTTTCAAGAAATCATATATGAGTTCACAGCTTAGTGAATTTAAATACTGTAAACCTACATATATTACAGTAGCACACTCAAAATTTAACATAATCTTCCTAATCAACTGAGTTGTGAAATCCAAAATTAAGGCATTTAAAGCCAAGTTTCTGTATATATTTGTTTTAACCATATATTAGCATGTACTTGAATAAGCCCACAAGAAGCAGCTAGAAAGGTGCTAAAATATTGCTACCACTAAATTAAGCAAGTTAAAAGTGATAGATATGCTACAGTTTTAAAATGCATGTACTTGTGACAGAATAACTATAATGCATGGTGTCATGAATACATGTATATACTAATGTTGTCACCTCTTCTTCCTTTAATTCAGTTCCAGTTTTGCCCTGTAGGGCCATTCTGAGATGTTTAATATAAACCTGAACCCCTCGAGCAAAATACTGTAACCTGAAATGGACACAAAAATTATTTTTACAAAATCAAATACACTGAATAAAATCTCCCAAACTCAGATCACTTTATATAAAATAATGTGTAACATGAACTAAAAATTGAGGTGAAGTTACCTTATTTTGAAGTCTTTTAATCTCTCGGCATTTTCTTCTCCCGATAAAAAGGTGGGTAATTTTCGACAGAGCTGGTGGAAGGTGTACATCAAACACTCGACGGCAGAGAATTCCAGTTTAGGCTCCCCACTGTGAGTCTCATCCTCACTCTCCTCAGCTGGTGGGAGGGGCATATATGACTGCAAAATATACATTATTGTTAGACAAACAGAAGTGAATAATTGTGATGCAATTGTAAACCCCTGAATCCATCACATCACTGGATTTATGGTTTTTTAGCACAGAATTCTTAAAAATGTTGCCTGAAGTGTAGTCTACGACTAGGTAGTTAACTAGATATTTTTCATTAAGAAAACTTTGTTATGATAGAAATGATATTATGGCCAAATTCAAAATACTTTTATAAATAAACTGAGCATACATCTCAAAATACTGCCATCTATAATTAGAATCAGCCTTTAAAGGAGTGATCCTGCATACTTAATGCACTTACTATAAGACAATCATATAAGTTCTGTAGTCGTTGCTCTAGATTTTCCAGATCCCCTGCGAACTCTGAGATTTCGGCCAGCAGTTTGAGCATTTCCAGTTTTCCATTTACTCCTTCCTCAGGGCTAGCTAGCTCCTCCAGGTGTGGCAAGACATGATCACAGATATAACCCACAAAGGCTTTAGAGTGGACATTTTTCTGTAAACCAACTCACATTTTCACTTTGTTTCAAGTAACTCTTAAATTAAATCAGCATTTGTTTTAACAGTGTCTTTAAATATTATTCCTCTTTTTCACAACTGTGTTTTAAAAAAAAATAAATGAAAAAATAATGGTTGTTTTAGATAAGGATAATGGTTTAGACTTACAGAGAAAAGTGGAACAGCATGCTTGATGCACTGGGTAAGTCTGTCAACACAATCTGGGTCTGTTGCCTGGAATCACATTGAAATCATAACTTTATTTAGCACTTTTCATGCTGTGTACATACCATGTACAGCATACCCAGATCAAAGTCTTTACTGAACATTTGTTCTGACTAGTTATTTCCTCATGATAAATGAATTGAAATGTTTTAAAGCAGTGTTTTCCCTAAGAACCAGCTACTGGCCAGATTGACCACTTCAATTGATATAAATGATGACAAAATTTAAAACAACTGTTATAAGGTCCACAGATATTTTATTCATAAACCTCAACCCCTAGCCTGTTACAATTGATCTCATACCCTTTACTTTGAAATAAAGGGAAAACACTGTAAAGGAACTCCTTTTTAACATTACTGTAACTTGCTTTTGGCCAAAGCTTTGAAATCTATAACCGAATCTTACATCTTACATCTCTCTGATATTGTGAAGCGTGACAAAAAGCCATTTATTTTCCAAATTTAGAATTATATACCTCAAAGGGTTGGTCTAATTCTGCTTGTTCTGTCACAATATCTACCAGCTGTTGTCTCCCTTGGACAGTTGTCATGGATTTCTGACATTTCAGGATCTCCATTATAGCAATAAACTCATCTTTAGTAACATCTTGTAACACCTGATAAAAGTGAAGATACCTGGTAATATGTCCATTTCATACACAAGTACATCACACATCAAAGAGATATACATCTGCACAAATCCAGATGCCAAATGAATCAGAATTATTCAACACTGTAATGTTGGAGATATTTTCAACTTACTTTTTTGCACATGTTAATGAGTAATTCTTCAGAGTGGCTGTCAAAGGTGTCCTCTGGTAGAGTCCGGATCTTAGCTCCCAAAAATTTAATTGCTTTCTCTCGTACAGTTTCATCATCTCCCAAAATCTGACCAAAGATTCCCTCTAATGCACCTGTTTATATAATAGGAAAATGTACCTTTTACACTTAATAAGTAAAAAAAATATGAAAAATAATTTGCATATAAAAAACTATTCTTCCTATATTCTTTTTTTCTGTTCATCTTTTTTTTTTTTTTTTTAAAGGATAACATTTAATCTTTAGACAGAATTTTGGATATATAGGTTCATCTGTCTGAATATTTAATACAATTAATAAAGGAAGGTGAATTTGGATAACATTAAATCTGTCCATCTAATACTGTATGCAATTTATCAATTTAATTTACATATTTAAGAACATGACCTGTGTAAACCTCTAAGTAGACTTTCACCATGTAAACAATTTCACTAAAATGCAATTATCAATTTACCTTTAGAATCGAATTTGAAAAGTGATATAAATGAGCTTTGTATAAGACTGTTCTCTGTAGCATCATCTGTTCCCATCAGCTGTGTCAGGGCAGAGGCAATCTTTGAGACCTGGTCTGGGGCAGTCTTACACAAAGTCGGCAAGTCTTTAATGGCTTGCTTACGTGTCTGAAAAGAAGATTTGATACTTGGAATGAAATAAAGGAATGTTATTAAGAAATTTCTAGAAATTTTACACAATGGTCAAATTCTTTTTCTTCTAAATACTATATTCAAAGAAATAACAATGTAATCCATTAATTTTGTTAAACAGGTTGGGACCAATTGCCTTAATGGGATATAATAGCATGTTTGGTATATAATATCCAAAATGGGATATAAATTTTAAAATTTACAGTGCAAACAAAAAAAAAAAACATTTTATCTATATATAGTGCAAATCTGCGTTAAAATAATCTGAATGCAGTAACTTTGGGCAACCGGCAAGTACATTTTTCTATAAGCTAATGGTTTGTAAGTTTGATTCCCAAGAAGTCTAGGATCTTCCGAGGGATTAATCTCCTACATAACCAGGATACAGAGAAACTTGTTAACCAAAAGTTATTGCTTTTGAAGTATTTTGATGCACATTTATAATATCTTACTGAAAAATATTAATTTTTTGCACCGTAAAGTAATATCCCATTTGAGATATTATATCCCAAAGAGGCTATTATATCCCATTTGAGTGATTGGTCCCAACCTGTTAAAATTATATGGGATATATACATACCATGGGATCATCATCTTCACACAGATCAAACATAGCATTAATGGCTGTTCCTGCATGATTTGGAAAATACTTGAAGAAGCGAGTGATGAACTGTGATGCTAATCTCTTTTCCCCGGGCCCCCCTTTTGTAGCACTAAGAATGGACAGGTATTCCTTTTCATGCTACGTAGAAAGAAAAAAACAGAAACCTAACATATTGGTAATAAACACATGAATATAATTTTGCAAAAACTAGGACAATTCAATGAATCTATTTCAATAAAGTTATTTTTTAAAACTACTTTCGAATCCATTGGTAGCAAAACTGTCGGTTGCTCTGGTTGGTTTCTCATTGTTCCTACCTGACCAGCCTTATCTTTGGCGTCCGCAAGAACCCCAAAATCTTTGTACAGTATTTCTATTGTAACCATAGTTGATTCTTAAACTATAAGGAATGCCATAAAATGATAATTCTATATAAAATTAATGGGTTTGCAAAATGAAGATAGCGTGGGTCCAACGACCGGAAGATAAAATGCCAAATCGGATTTCTATCCCGATTACATTAAACAAAGATGTAGCTAATAACAGTAAAATGCCCAAAAGATTTTTTATCTAATTCTATTTATGTTTGATTACAAATTTATTAGACTTCATAATATTCAGTAGATGCCATTAAAATTAAAACATATTATCTAAAAGCTATTTGACGACGAGAGAAATGCATATTCATGAACAGGTTAGAAAATTCTATCACATCGCGTTCGGTGTTCTGTAAATTTCGATCATTCCCGCCATTTTTTCGAGTTATTATAGTAGTACAATTCAGCATTTTAGCACCAGCCTAAGCACCATCTCCATAGCGCATGCGCAAATTAAAGGCCTAAGTGGGTCGTGCGACATGCGCACTTCCTTCTTTCTGTTTTGAAATACATTCAAACGAACAGGTATTTTTTGTTAATTTGTTATATCAATGATAAAGCGGCTATTGTCGAGATAAAGTAACGAAAATGTTTGAGAATATAATCAAATACAAAACTTCTGTACTTTTCTTTGGAATTTGAAGGGAAAAAAATTGGCGTTAGCCTTTTTGTTACCGTTTCTATATAAGACCTACAATTTTGGGTAGCCGGGACCGGCCACTGGCACACCCCATAATTTACCAAAAATATAAAATCAGTCGTAAACTAGGAATAACTGGGGTTTTGACGAAATATTTAGACTTTGCATAAGCATTTTGCATGTATCACACTGAATTGTATGGGCCTGATATGTCTGTATACATAATAGGGGGATGTGTAATGTACACTACTCAAGAAATGTCTGTATTGTAGATTACAATCAGTTTGTCGTGGTATTAGGAAAAGAATGGCCAATGCAAGTAAGTTTATATTTTTTATCTATTCAACCTATATACTAGGACCATAGTGGCATACAAACCTAAAATTTTCATTAGGCCTAGCAGTAGCACTATACAAGCCTTTTTCTTGCAGTCACTGCTTATATTGTCCAAATAAAGGTAACCTTATAAACCAATTCTATATTTGTCAATGCAAAAGCACACATATCAATGACAGAGAGTTCCCACATCTAGGCTTAAAAGCATAAGGACATATATGGAAGTAATATTATTTATGCCATGGTATCATAGATTCTACTACACAAATGATCCAAACACTCATATATATACTTATTACACTAGCGCCACACATATACAGCATTTATAACACTAGTACCACATATTTACAGCCTTTATTACACTAACACCATGCATATACAGCCTTTATAACACTAGCACCACAAATATACAGACTATTACACTAGCACCACACATATACAGACTTTATTACACTAGCACCATGCATATACAGCCTTCATAACACTAGCAAAACACATATAAAACCTTTATAACACTAGCACCACACATGTACAACATTTATAATACTAGCACCACAAATACAACCTTTATAAACTAGCACCACAATATACAGCCTTTATTACACTAGCAAAACCCATATACAGCCTTTATAGCACTAGCACCACACATATACAGCCGTTATATCACTAGCACCACACATGCACAACCTTTAGAACACTAGCACCACACATGTACAACATTTATAAGACTAGCACCACACATATACATCCTTTATAACAATAGCATCACACATGTACAACCTTTATAACACTAGTACCACACATATACAGCCTTTATAACATGAGTACCACACATATACAGCCTTTATAACATCGGCACCACACATATCTAACCTCTATAACACTAGCACCACCTATATCTCCCCTCTATAACACTAACACCACACATATCTAACCTCCAAACCACTAGCACCATACATATACAACCTTCATAACACTAGCACCATACATATACAACCTTTATAACACTAGCACCACAAATACGCAGACTATTACACTAGCACCACACATATCTCACCTCTATTACACTAGCACCACACATATCTCACCTTCATAACACTAGCACCACACATATCTAACCTCTATAACACTTGTACCACACTATCTAACCTCTATAACACTAGCACCACACATATACAGCCTTTATAACACCAGCACCACACATATCTAACATCCATAACACTAGCAACACACATACACAGCTTTTATAACACTAGCACCACCTATATCTCCCCTTTATAACACTAGCACCACACATATCTAACTTCTATAACACTAGCTCCACACATATCTAACCTCTATAACACTTGCACCACACATATTTCTCCTATATTACACTAGCACAACTCTATCTAACCTCTATAACACTAGCACCATGCATATCTAAGCTCTATAACACTAGCACCACACATATACACTATAACACTAGTACCACACATACATAACCTTTATAACACTAGCACGATACATATACAGCCTCCATAACACTAGCACCACACATATACAGCCTTTATAACACTAGCACCACACATATCTAATCTCTGTAACACTAGCACCACACATATCTAACCTCTATAACACTAGCACCACACATATACAGCCTGTATAACACTAGCACCACTCATATACAGCCATTATAACACTAGCACCACACATATACAGCCTTTATAACACTAGCACCACACATATACAGCCTTTATAACACTAGCACCACACATATACAGGCTTAATTACACTAGCACCACACTTATCTAACCTCTGTAACACTAGCACCATACATATACAGCCTGTATAACACTAGCACCACACATATACAGCCTGTATAACACTAGCACCATACATATACAGCCTTTATTACACTAGCACCACACATATACAGGCTTTATTACACTAGCACCACACATATACAGCCTTTATAACACTAGCACCACACATATACAGGCTTTATTACACTAGCACCACACATATACAGGCTTTATTACACTAGCACCACACATATACAGCCTTTATTACACTAGCACCACACATATCTAACCTCTATAACACTAGCACCACACATATACAGCCTGTATAACACTAGCACCACTCATATACAGCCATTATAACACTAGCACCACACATATACAGCCTTTATAACACTAGCACCACACATATACAGCCTTTATAACACTAGCACCACACATATACAGGCTTTATTACACTAGCACCACACTTATCTAACCTCTGTAACACTAGCACCATACATATACAGCCTGTATAACACTAGCACCACACATATACAGCCTGTATAACACTAGCACCATACATATACAGCCTTTATTACACTAACACCACACATATACAGGCTTTATTACACTAGCACCACACATATACAACCTTTATAACACTAGTACCACACATATACAGGCTTTATTACACTAGCACCACACATATACAGCCTTTATAACATCGGCACCACACATATCTAACCTCTATAACACTAGCACCACCTATATCTCCCCTCTATAACACTAACACCACACATATCTAACCTCCAAACCACTAGCACCATACATATACAACCTTCATAACACTAGCACCATACATATACAACCTTTATAACACTAGCACCACAAATACGCAGACTATTACACTAGCACCACACATATCTCACCTCTATTACACTAGCACCACACATATCTCACCTTCATAACACTAGCACCACACATATCTAACCTCTATAACACTTGTACCACACTATCTAACCTCTATAACACTAGCACCACACATATACAGCCTTTATAACACCAGCACCACACATATCTAACATCCATAACACTAGCAACACACATACACAGCTTTTATAACACTAGCACCACCTATATCTCCCCTTTATAACACTAGCACCACACATATCTAACTTCTATAACACTAGCTCCACACATATCTAACCTCTATAACACTTGCACCACACATATTTCTCCTATATTACACTAGCACAACTCTATCTAACCTCTATAACACTAGCACCATGCATATCTAAGCTCTATAACACTAGCACCACACATATACACTATAACACTAGTACCACACATACATAACCTTTATAACACTAGCACGATACATATACAGCCTCCATAACACTAGCACCACACATATACAGCCTTTATAACACTAGCACCACACATATCTAATCTCTGTAACACTAGCACCACACATATCTAACCTCTATAACACTAGCACCACACATATACAGCCTGTATAACACTAGCACCACTCATATACAGCCATTATAACACTAGCACCACACATATACAGCCTTTATAACACTAGCACCACACATATACAGCCTTTATAACACTAGCACCACACATATACAGGCTTTATTACACTAGCACCACACTTATCTAACCTCTGTAACACTAGCACCATACATATACAGCCTGTATAACACTAGCACCACACATATACAGCCTGTATAACACTAGCACCATACATATACAGCCTTTATTACACTAACACCACACATATACAGGCTTTATTACACTAGCACCACACATATACAGCCTTTATAACACTAGCACCACACATATACAGGCTTTATTACACTAGCACCACACATATACAGGCTTTATTACACTAGCACCACACATATACAGCCTTTATTACACTAGCACCACACATATCTAACCTCTATAACACTAGCACCACACATATACAGCCTGTATAACACTAGCACCACTCATATACAGCCTTTATAACACTAGCACCACACACATACAGCCTTTATAACACTAGCACCATAAATATACAGCCTCTATAACACTAGCACCATACATATATTCAGCCTCTATAACACTAGCACCACACATATACAGCCTTTATAACACTAGCACCACACATATACAGCCTTTATAACACTAGCACCACACATATACAGGCTTTATTACACTAGCACCACACATATACAGCCTTTATAACACTAGCACCATACATATACAGCCTGTATAACACTAGCACCATACATATACAGCCTGTATAACACTAGCACCATACATATACAGCCTCTATAACACTAGCACCACACATATCTCACCTCTATGACACTAGCACCATACATATACAGTCTTTATAACACTAGCAACATCCATATACAAACTCAGTTTAACACTAGCACAATGCATATACAGCCTTTGTAACATTATGCTTTGCTTTACCATTATGCTTTGTATGTATTTTGATAAAGAGGAGACCTTTATTATTCCCCGCTGGAACAAAAATGTTCAAGTTTAAAGCTTTTTCAATTTATTTGTTTATGCTTAGATAATGTAATGATTTCTATATACATGATATAATCAACAACAATTATTTGTGCACCCTTACACAGGTTATTGAATTATATAAATATATCTATTTTTATTTTAATTAGGTTTAACCAAAGTAAATGAGCAGTACTGGGCTTCAGTTCAGGGCAAGGTAATGCCAGCATAGTTGTCATATACCATTCCTAACAAGTTTAAAAATTTTAATTGGCCTTTATCTTGTACATTATTTCATTATCTAACATAATTTACAAAGGAAATATAAATTATATAATCATAAAATTGTAGAATGTGAATTTTTTCATCACTGGGGGCATAGTGTTTTTTGATAAACTTACATCTAGAAATTTTTTATATCAAAATCACCATAAGTATCATAAAGATTAAAAAAAGAGTATCATAACTACTAACTACTGTTTTAGGTTAAAGATTGGATTCAAAAAACTGATGCCACTGTATTAGTATTATACATACTGCAGCCAACAAAGCGGAATCCCATCCCTACTTTAAAGTTTGAAGGTAGGTTGTTTTTTTTTTTCAAATTAATATATGTGTGTTTTCAAGAATTGTCATGGCATATTTCAAGATTTTTTCATGATAAAATATGACATAAGAGTCTGTAATGCTTTTATTCTTTGATACTGTCTAAATATTAGGTCTTTTAATTTATATTACCGTAGATAAAAAATGTATCCGGTAAATACCCATAAATAAGCATTTTTTGCTGATTGACGAAATAAACTGCTTGAGTTTATTTTATTTATTTTTATACATTTTTTTGATGTACAGGTATTACATTTTACTGGAAATACATGTACATTTGCTTAAACATGCTGACTTTATAGGGTCAAGAAAGCTGAAAGCTGTGGTTGAGTCAGAAGAAGTAAGGATTGCCATCAGCACTGCTTGCAGTGGTCCTCCCCCTCCTGTGAAGTCAATTAAAGATGGTAAATATTACATGCACAAAATGATATTCTCCCATGAGGAATGGTATTCATTGAATAAGAATAGAAGAACAGTTTTTTAATGTTTAAAATAAAAACAGAAAAATTCTGTGACAGGAATGAAAAAAAAATGGATAAGCTTTTTATCCAACTATTTTTGCATTTTTTATGGATGAAAATTATATCCAACCACAAACTGAGAGAGATTTTTTTTTTTGAATAGAGTTTTTATCAAATGCCACTTCAGTATGACAAAATTGTTAGTGATTTTATGTTCTTAAATTCAGAAATGGAGAACATCATCATTCAACCTTGGACCATGCAAGTAAAGAGGTGTATAATCTCTAACTTGGTTAGGCAGTACAGTAAGTAAAAAAAGATTCCTTTGTAGAGTTGTGTATATATATATATATGTGTAAGATATAAATAACTATAAACATTTTGTAAGAAATACTTTTGTATAACTAGAGGTAATGGACAATATTTTATATGAATGTTGTATGAATTTTATATTTATTTTATAATCTATTTTTATATCAGTTTTAATTTTTTGTTTTATTAACTTTAAAACTTCTATATAGTGGAATTGAAGTATGGTAGGAAGAGGGACATTTGGGGTTATCCTTCCCTTAAACCAGAGTGGTGGCCTGATGACATCGAGTACATTTCTCCAAATGAAAGACGGACTGTCGGTAAGATTAAGATTTATTACATCTAGCAGTTTATTTTTACTGGTGTGCATTTCATCACCTTTTTTAAATCATCACTAGTTGTGTACCAGTCCTATATATTTTTATGTTCTCCTTGTTGTATACATTTGTTTGCTCATCTCGAGGCAAATTTGTTAGAAACATGAATTCTTGTTGAAATCTCACATATTTTACTTGCATCACCTTTTCCTTGATTTTAGACAAACCATTGAGTAATATTAGCATGGATCAGATTCTTGATTCATATGTAGAGTGGAAGGTATTGGAATGATGAGTTTAAGAGTTTACATTTTTTGAAAGTATAGAATTTCTAGTTTGTAGTAATTTTGATTGCACGGTAATCAGTATTTTAGAAATCTTTATAGTGGGTGAGTGGGTGGGGGTGTTATCAGTAACGGAAAAATTGCATATTCAAAACAGATAATTGAGTCTTAATTAATCTCAATTTTAAAGATGTAAAGATATGTTTCTGTTAATGAAATGATTATCTTGCAATCTTTTGAAAATTAGTAATTCATTACAAGTAGTTTAGTTCATCAGATATGTGTAATTGAAAGCAATTTATTTGAAATTCTATATCATTTATTGGTAACTGCAATGCATATACATGTACAAGTTTACATATACAAGGATACTGCTACATTTGCACTGAAATTTCTATGTAAATGCCACATTTTAGACATGAAAGTACATGTTATACAATACAAGTGTTACAATTGGCAAAAAAAAAAGCAAGTCTCAACCAGGACTCATGCCCAGGGCCTCTGGCATACCAGCAAAGCACTCTAACCAACAAATTAATGGCACTCGATATATTGGCTGACTTTTTAACATCGGGAAAAAAATATGATTGTATTTGACAATATGAATTTTGCGACTTAAGATACTTTCACTTTATTATTACATGAGCTTTAGCCTTGTCAGTACTAATATGCATGTCCTGTTTTAAAAAATTTCATGTACCATATTTTATAGCACTATACTTTCTTGTAAATTACTTGATTTTGATAAATCAAGAAACATTGCTTATAAAAACACTTTTACCTTCTGAATGATGAAACCACGCCCTTCAGGGGGATAGCACTTAGCAGAAGTCAATATTGCTTGATGATGGGGCATATTAAAAAAATATTATGACTCCATGGAATCTGTGCATCTCCACTTCATTTTTATTTGTATCAAACAATAATATTAAAAAATTTTGCCCCCTCAAAAACCATGGTCATCTGAGGCAACAATGGTCTTCTTGGGTTTAAAAATTTTCATTGTTACCCTCAAGTAAATGCAGTATTTATATACTGGTCATAACTTCTGATTCCTGATTTTTAAAGAAATTTTTCAAAATATTTTTTATCCTTAATTATTCCCTCTGTATATATATATTTTTTTGGGAGGGGGATTACTTTGTCCTTCTGTCCATACTCCATATTCATGCAATATTAGGTTATTTTCTATCTTATTATATATATTACATACAAGTACCAATACCTATGTATGTCTGGCAAACATACTTTTGAAAATTCTATGCAATGCCCATATTTGATATGTCAGAATTACATTCTATGCTTTATTGATCTTGATTATATAAGGTTACAGAGCTCGCCTCAACAAATGTTTCATCATATTGGTGACCCCACATCCATAGGGGTATAAGTTACAATGGAAAAGTTCTAAAATTTCAAGGTTTTTTAATTTGCATGAAATATACTGTACTTAAATTATGTGTTATGCATATGAAGTTTTGAAATACAATGTTGAAATGCTTGAAGACAGAATGAAACAAAATGTTACTGAAATGGCATGCATTATGCTTCACATATAATTGCATGCAATATGTTCTTTGGATTGAAAATGTTGTTCATGCATGGTTATTTCATGCACACACACATTTATTAATTTTATGTATGTCAAATAAATGTGCCACAAATTGTGATATATTAAACATAATCAACCAACCAACTAAAAAAGGAAAAAATAAATTTTAAAAAAAAAACAAGATATCCAAATGTATTTGTATAATACATTATAATATTTTGACTGTCGATCTGTTGGATGATTCCAGAATTCTAATGGTAGCAGGAGAAAGGATTTTGAAGAAGGAAGTGGAGAGGTATTGGAGGAGGTAAGTGGCAATGAGGAAGTCATGCCAAGTGTTTCAGTTGAAACACCTGGTATGAATTCCTCTCTGCCTATTTCTCCAACACTGAGTGTTGGAGGTTTCTTTTCAGGTGGGACAGGGAGTATTGAGACTGAAATGGAGAGGACACACGAACCAGGCAACCAGCTAATATCAGAGGAGGTAAGTGGCAGTGAGGAAGTCATGCCAAGTGTTTCAAATGAAAAACCTGGTATGAATTCTTCTCTGCCTACCTCTCCAACATTGAGTGTTGGAGAGGGTTTCTTTTCAGGTGGGACAGAGAGCAAAGAAAATGAAGCATGTCAGATGGAGATGGAAGTGGAAGAGATGGGTCTGCCAGAGAGGACAGACATGGATGAAACAGCTATGCCAGATGGGAACATAAATGACATGGGCAGCACAGAAAATACCAATGTGCAAAGTCTGTTGAAAGTTGGCTGGGATGATGTTGTTCTAACTAAATGTAAGATAATAAGCTTAATGAATAGTTTTGTAATTATACATTGTATGATTAAAAATACCTGACAATTTTTATAAAGAAAAAATACAATGCAAATAGGTTGTGTATATAATAATATACCGGTAACGGTATTTTCTCTCTCTCTCTTTCTTGAAAACCATTCTACTCTTGGAAAAAAAATTCTATGTATTTACAGTTCTATGTGCCATTTGAACAATGACTTTGCAACTTTTTTATAAACACTTTCAGATATCTACAAGATTTGGTCTAAACAGAGAAATGATAGTGTTGAGCCATTTCTGCTGTCTAAAACCTGTGGTGTGAGCATTAACAACAGGTCACTCATTAGTGCAAAAAGTTTGATCACAGATGAAGTAAGCAAACACGTATATTACCTTCTCATAACATCTGTGGTGTGTTTGAATAAGGGTTTTATCACTGTAAACAAATATAAAAGTGGTATTCTTTCCCACCATGAATAGATATCAAGTGTGACAAAACTCACGATTTTCCTTCCCTTCATGACAGTCCCTATACTTTTATACAACTGTAAGATAGCAAGACTAAATAAACCATGCTGACAGAAACAACTTTCAAGGATTCTCCAAATTGTTTTTAAACCCATGTTTACAATTTTTAATCTTACCACTGCTTAGCTGTGATGTATAAAAACTGCTCAGATATGATGTCATAGTCTATAAAAAGACAGAGGCAAAAAGAAATTTTTTAAAAATGTAATAAACAAAAAAATATAGTGTTTTGTAGTTGAATATTGATTTTTTTTTTCACTCATGGGACAGGACAGCTTCGCACGTGTGAAAATATCAACTATAAATACATGCAATAAGTAATTTGTAGAGGACATTCAATGTTTTGAAGTTGGAAATGGAATTAATTTCATAAGTGGAACATGATTTTTTTAAATATTTTTTTATACATGTATCACCATATAATAAAAAGATGACAAATTGTACAGCAGAAATTTAAATATTTTAATCGTAGTTTCAATTTACACTTCTTTTTCTTATCCATTGATCTCTAAATCAATTAAATATGAAATAATATCAAAAATCTTTGAATTTTTGTTTTGTTCCATTTTAATTACTTTTGTATTTGTTTTTTGTAGATAATTGATGCTTATCTTGGGATTATTTGTGGTGTAAGTAAACAATGACCTATTGATTTAAAATTTCTTATTTATAAGCCATAATGTATGAACTTATTAAAAATGTATTAAGAAAATGTATGTGTATATGACACAGATAGATTTGTTTCTAAAAATGGCAGTTACAACCTTAATTTATATAAGAATCCAAACTAATACTAAAAGAGTCTATGGTATGCACGCACATACTTTAAAATTTACTCCTCTCTTCTTCGCATATATAGCGTAGAGTATTCATCTGTTTATTTATTTATTTATTTATTTATTTATTTATTTATCTACTTTTTAGAAAAATTCATTTATTTATTATTTCTTTAAAGCTAAGCAACAACTTCTTTTATGTGCCATGCAGTGTTATATCCATGATTTTTCATCCTCGACATCAAAACGAAGTTTCAGATGTATGTTACTCCTTTACTTTTCATTTGTCTTATAGGTCATATATTATGCTTAAAAATATTAAGAAAATGCAAAAACTATTGTATTCATGAAAGCATAAATGAATTTCAGTTCCACATTATTATATTTAGATCTGTAATTGTTAGATTGTATAATAGTTCAAAATTAATGGCAAGTACACTTTTTTTTTTTTTTCATTCAGGTCCTTAATGAGAACAAAGGAAAAGTGTTGCTGGCTATTGTAAATAGGAGAGAAATTCACTGGATTTTGTTGGTAAAATGATTCTTTCATATTAAGAAAGTAGTGAAGGAATTTAACTTTTTTCTGTTATATTAATGAATCTTCACTGATTCAAATGCCAAAAGTATGGATACATCACATTCCAGACAAAAGTTGTGAACAGCATTTATATGTCAGTTGTTGAAGGGTATGCTTCACCAATCCAGACAAATTGCTCTGGAACACAAGTATTTGAATTGATTTGACTGTGTTTGTATATGTACATTTATATACATGTATATATTTGTTTGTTACTTTCTAAGGTTATTGATCAACGGAACAAATCTCTGTTAATAATTGATCCAATGGGAGAGACCAAAACAACATGCCAGTTGATTTTTAAATTATGGATGTAAGTACAGTGTATAAGCATAAGACATTAATGAAATTGTAGATGTGAATAACAAAAAATGTAGAACTATGCTCTTTTTCAATGGAGATGAATGATGAAAAAAAAAACTAAAAATTAGGACAGAATCATCATGAAAAAAAATTCCATAGGCACTGAACTAGAAATCAAGATTTAAAAATGAAGATGGCTAGTATGAAATTGTTATAAAAATTCATTTCTTCTTTGTTTTAGCAATTACTTGACACAAAGAGGACATGATGCCGAAGGATGGAAAATCGATACTATCCACCACTCAAAGCAACAGGACAGTGTTTCTTGTGGAGTTTACTGCATGAAGGTAAAAACATTGTTAGTTAACAAGCCAAATGTCAGGCTAAAATGTTGGAATAGGTGGATTAATTATAGCAATTTTCATTGTACATGTAAAAATGAACATATTCAAGTTTTTTTTTTACTTCCAATTAAGCAATTACATGTATAGCCATGCTAGCAAGTGCATTTATACTGTATCTCTAAGAAAACTAAACCAGCTTTCAAAGAAATTGAACATTTTAAATGTTGTCTTCTGGGACAAAGAAATAAATTTGGTACACACATTGCAGCATCTATGTGAAAAGGAATCATAGATTGTAAATTCTTAGTCTCTGCACCCCCCACCCCACCCCCACCCCCCAAGCATGAGGGACTTGGTAAAAACAAAACAAATGCAATTTTCAATTTATTTTTTTTAAGGCATTGAAATCTAGTAAGCAAATTGTTTGTTGTTTACAATAAGCTATGAGCAATTAAGGACATACGCAACGTACCTTACCTACTGATAATTTTTCAAGATATTCTTAATTTAAGATTATAGTGCCATCAGATGTTTGTAGACAAAAAATCAGCATGCTTTACCAGGGGGTTTGAAAAGATATCAATTGATGAAAATTCTTGTATAACTCAAAGAAAAATATACAAAAATTACTAAACATATATTCTAGATGTTTTGTTTATCCAAACTTGTTTTAGAAGAAGTGTTCAATAGCATATATAGACATTAAAATGTAGCACGCAGTTCCTTTAAGTATTGGATCTCTTCAACTCCAGGGAAAAAGACAATAAAGTTCACACTACGTTGTGTATGTCCTTAACAATTTAGCCCCTTGGGTTCATAGTTCATCATATTTCATATGTTATAAATCAAACAAACTTAAACCAAAGTCCCATAAAATTTTGATACTCAGGAGGCCTTAAGGCCCCTGAGCCTTACATTCATTTTAAATTTTATGCATCAGATAAATTTGTTTTATTACTCAGTTTGCAGAGGGAATTGTTCTAAATACATCTTTACATCTCACAACTCAGAAGGACACTGTGCAGGAAATCAGGTGCAACATTATGAAGACCATCATAAATAATCAAGGTGCATTGCATTGTTTTATTCAGAAAAGTAAACTGAAAGGTTTAAAAATAATAATATCACAGAATCATCAACATAAAATGTTTTATGAATTTATTAGAAAATATGAGTTAAGCATATATGTTGCTGGTTAACACAGCATATGCCAGATTTTAAATGTACACAGGTTGATTAAGATTTGCACAATTTGTTAGGAAGATACTAGGTTCATTGGAGCTTTTTTCCCACATTCAAGGAGAATTTGCAATTTATATCCATATCCATGGCCATATACATGTATCTCTAGTTTAAATAATTGAAAGGATTGAGGATTTATATTTATGACAGTAAAAAGTGTTCATTTACTTGTCATTCACTTCACTGACAATGATGCAATGTTTAGTTCAAACTTAGAATATTTGTATTCAAATTTAGAATGATAAACCTTTTTTTTCTAAATTGTTAATTAACACTTATTGATTAAAAAAATTCTGATTTATTTTAAAAGTAACAAATTATTCTTAGAAAGAAAATTGCGTCATGCAAAAGGTTTATATTTTGTAGATGAGGACACTAAAAATTTCTGCAGACGTTGCTTCCGGCATGAACCCCCAAACAGCAAAGTTAAAAGAATCAAGTGGGTAAGTAAACCTTTTTATTTATATTACTTAAAACAAGTTATCAAATATTTCTTTGATTGGGAAAATAATATACTTCTACCATCAGAATTCAAATTGCATGTTTGCTAAAGTATGATGCCAAGTAGAAATCCATTTGTTTTGGAGAGATTTCCAAAACAGATTATTTTAATTCAAATGATGTACATATAACTTTAAAGCTTATTTCTGTGAACATTTTACTTTTAAGATATACTGCAAACATTTTGCTTAATTTACAGGTTCAATGTGATGGATGTGCCATTTCTTGGTATCACACTGTGTGTTTGAATTTAAAACAAGTCAGAGAATCAACTTTTGTTTTGTGTGATGTTTGCAAAATGTCTGAGTAGGTGTTGTAATTGTCAGTTAAAAATGTGTACATTGAGTCTGTCTGAAATTAAAGTATTTTGACCGGATCAGATTATGCAATCTGTTTTCATGTAAAATATCCTGTTTCAGAGAAGTCAGATTTTGTGTCTCACCAAACATAGATTTTTTTTTTCAACTTTCAGTCATAATTCCCTGTGTAAGAGGGAAGTCAGAAATGTAAATTGTGCTGCTCCACATGTACATTTTCTTTTTTTTGTCTTTTTTAGTTTTTGTAATCTGTGTAACTTTCAAGTTGGTTGAGTGTAAAGTCAGATGCAGTAATGGGCCGCTCCATATGTACATTACTTTTTCTATATTTGCTTACATTTATATTCTCTTGTGTGAGTGTAAAATTGGAAGTGGTTTTGGATGGAAACCATTATATCTTAGAAGAGAAAAACAGAAACTTCAGTTGATGTATAAAATAATTAATGCTTCTGCACCTGATTACTTGTACAAATTGATTCAACCCTTTTTCCAATTCAACATGCCTACAACCTAAGGTCTGGATGTGATAACTTGTATTTGTGTATACCAGTTTGTAAAACAATGTCTTACTATAATAGTTTTATTCCCTCAACTATAAAACTTTGGAACAGTCTTAGTGCAGATGTCAAAAACTCCATCATTATCTATCTATAAAGCAAAGCTTAAAAGTTGGGGAGCAACTAATAAACCATGTAGGTACTTTAACTTTGGTAATAGAAAAGAGAATATCTTACATTGCCAGTTGCGAAACAATGCTAGCTATCTTGATGCACATTTAAAAAGTCATTTTTTTTTATCAGATGTTCAATCATGTCAAAAATGTGGATTTTATACTGAAGATACTGAACATAACCTTATCAAATGTCAATCATATACTGCTGAAAGAATTTACTGATAAAAAAATTAAATGATATTGATGTTGTTTTTGAACTCAACACTGTTAAGAGGAAAATGTCAATATTCCTATCAAACAAACTGTAAAATATTTTCATATGTACACAAATTTATTAAATCTACTAAGAGACTTAACTAATTACTCTGTAATATTAAATACTCTGTTAAATATTTAGTTCTTTTATAATATATATTTTAAACCTGGAACAGTATGTAAATAATTTTTATACAATTAAGGGGTCATCATCTTTTCTTTTCTTTTTTTTTATAATTCTAATGAACAATGCATGTACTTTATTGTGAATCTTTATTTTTTTTTTATTGGCATGTCTATTGTCATGTACAAGTATTATTATTTATTGTCTCTATCTTGACCTGTTATACAAGGAGAGGACGTGCAATATTATGCCTGTTGCCCAATCCTTAATGAATTGCTCAATAAAATATGTTCAAAGTAAAGTCAGATGCGGTAATGGGCCACTCCACATGTACATTACTTGTTTCTATGTTTATTTATACTCTTCTTTGTGACTTTCATGTTTAATCTCTTGTTTGAGTGTTAAGTCAGATGGTATTTGTATACCACATTTAATCGGTCAATTATATTCTCAGAAAATTCTTATGTGAGTGTTAAGTTAGATCCTGTTTCTTTTTGCCTTTCACATATAGACGGTATGATAGATGCCACAATGTCTCTTTGAATTGATTACGTTTTGGAATTGTTAAAATATATAAATAAAAAATGGTTTTTGAGAGTTGCAAAACAAGATTTGTTTTATTATTTGAAAGAAACATTTAGTTTGTTTTGACAAAGGTATAATAAAGCTTTTGTCAATAAGGGAAAGGAAACATAATCATGCAAAAGTTTTCATCAGGACCCTCCATGTTTCTGTGCTGAAAATACTGGTTAATTATCCATGAAGTCAGGTACTAAAAAAATCAGACCTCATTATCTCAAATTTCATGAGATATCGGTGTTCCAGATACATAAGTTCAACTAGACTTAGAACCTTAGACTTTGCCTTATATTTTCTGCATACAGGTAATGAAGTGCAGGTTCACACTTTGATTGGGTAGAGCAAGACAATCATTGCTTTATGATACAATACTGTAATATAAATACTGTAGAATTTTCAAGAAGCTGAATTACAATGAGATTGTTGTTATCCTTGTAACATCAAACTTATTTGTCAGTAGCTTGCATCAGCTTAAAATCGATTGTACTTGGAGCATGCTCTTGTATATTGAATCAATTGGGAGGTATACACAGTGTATGCAGGTGATGTTTGAATATTACTACATAAATAAGGGAGGTTGATGATGGAAAAGTTGAATTCAAAATGTTTCATACAGTTCAATTGGTTGGTAATTTTTGTCTACAGTCAGTAAAACATCCACGAAACTCTGAAACGTCTTATATTTATAGTTCACCGTGACATATCAGGTCAACATATGGATGAAAGTAAATTATATCTTATATTTATAAATATATCTTGGTGAAGTTTGAGTTAACAGCATCTGCTTCTCGTGTAGAAGCTTCTGAATTTATTAATCATAGGAATATTTAAAAATAATAATAAAGGGCCACAAGAAATGTCCATTCGAAACAAATAGTGTGTAAGAAATAGAAGGGAAGGATAAGTAAATTTACCAGAATTATTTAACTTTCAACCGAATCAAGGGTATATATATGATGTTATTTATTTATTTTATTTTTTTTTTGTTTCATTGATGGACGAAGGTAACAACTTAATAATTGACACTGGAAAAGGTGTTAAAATGTCCCTTTTTAAAGTAGTTTCTTGTTTCTTATCACGGTTCTGTTTTATGAAGACATTAACCCCCCTCACGATGAATTATTAAATTAAGTGGTGTATCATTTTAATTCACGATCATACTCGTATATTTGCCTACCTTCTCAATGGTCATTTGCAAAATTATTTTGTTATAATTTTAAAATTCTGCTTGTAGCCTTGTACACACAAGTACTCCTAGCTAGGGTGATATTAAAAGATTATCCATGTAGTTTTTCGAGATTGGCTTCTAGTAATCTTTCGGAATTCCCATGGGCACTAATTGCGCCTAGTTATTAACAGAAGTATTTTTTTTTTTCATTCATATGATGCAGAATTGATTCAAAAACTTGTACATGAGAAGAAGAAAACACTCGCTGTGCCTTTAACTCTACATTTAGATATATTGAATTATTATCAATTAACAATAGTTTCTTCCATTGATATATATATATCCCAGTAAACTTGAAATAAAAGAAACTACAGAGTTTGACACATCTGTTTCGAATATGGATATCTTCATAGAAAAAGACGCTAAAGGGGCCTGGGTACAGTTCCATGATTTACAATTTAAATTTCTACTTAAAAAAAAAACAAACAAACAAAAACCAAAAAAAACCCCATACATTCAGGTTACTAAATTGATTCTTCTTTATATCGTCAAACATCAGCTGTGTTTGTAAACAGGGCACGAGCTCCCCATGTTATTGTTAATGTTTCTGTTTTATGGTGTGTTTAATTTAGTTACTCTGCAAAAATTTCTGAGCACGGACTGACGTTAATGGTGAGTTGATTTTGCTTTCTCGTCTTTTTACTCTTCATTTTCTGCAAGGATTATAGTTTTAACATTTTTATGAATACACATCAGAATTTGCATTTTTCTTAAGTATATATAAAGGATAAAGTTTACTTCGTGACAATGCCACGCTACTTGTCAATCAAATGCGTCCCGTAATTCGTAGTTTTAATAATATCCAGATAAAAGAAGTTTCTAAACACGCTTTTTTTTTTACATTTCAGCAAGCGTGAATTGCACTAGTATACAGTTAAAGTATATCATTGAGGGAGTTAGCAAGATTCCAGTTCCCCAAGGCCAGGACTATTTCCCAAGGTGAAGCCGGGGGAAATAGTCCTGGTCGAGGGGAACTGGAATCTTGCTAACTCCCGCAATGATATACTTTTAACTGTTTTTTTATACCGATACAAACGTAAAATTTAGAGGATTCAGATAGCGTGATTCATAGCAGGGATTAGCTCACTGAACTAACACACGGGGATTAGTCCATTCACATATCATATCAATGTAAAAGTAAAATCTAGAGGATTACGGATAACCGGGGATTAGCTTTTGATGCAGGGATTAGCTCACTTGATTAACGCACGGGGATTAGTCCATTCATACTGATTTCTAGGGAATTACGGTAGTCACATCTAACGATCCAATGTTATATAGGGAAAAATTAGTAGATGTATAATAACAACGTATAAGTCATGATATTATACTGAAATTTTTAGAAAATATATACTACAAATCTGTGTCTGTGCCGCTTTAATTCTAATAACATAACAACAAAACTTTATGATAAACGTGGTAACTTCTACACTCTATCTTCAATTCCCTTATTTATTTTGGAGTATTATTCCCTTATCACTTGCATATGGAGTTTATGATTCCTAGTTGATTTGATATGCTAGAGCATGTTCTACGAACAATATCTAAAACGAGGGAAGCTATTGACAAAGAAGTTGGTGCAACAAGGATATCAACAATCTCGTTTAATGTCAACATTCGCAAGTTCTATGGTCGATACAATGACCTTGTCAACAAATCAAGTCGAATGTTGACTGACGTTTTTCATACTTATTGTTAGGACATTATTAACACACTCAGTTGTCTGGACAATTTTTTTCATTTGTCCGATCATGACGGGTGACCACGGTCGACAGGGGATGCTTACTCCTCCATGACATCTGACCTCACCTCTGATATTTCCAAAGACCATATTTGCTCTGCTCTCAATTTATATTGTTTTAATGGACTTTTGAGCTTGATTACGGTTCGTCATTTCCACATTTTATTAAAAGACTGTCAGACTCAAGCCAGTCCCATGTACTATTAACCTCGTCCGACGAAATACGTAAATAGTAGAGGACCGGACTGTTATGGAAGGTCTGAAAATTTATTCAGCCAAGAAAAATCATTTGTCCTGAGAGGTTCACATTTGAAGAATATGATTTACTTGGCCGAATTAATCTACAGATCTCCCCAATATACTTTTTTTTGATGACTATTTGCAAGATATCAAAATTTGCTATTTCTATTTTACTGCGGAAGGACATTTCGCACTCGGTACCAGTCATAAATGATAGAGTTTACGAACAGATACGAATGCTAAATTGCATAATTATTCGAATGCAACCGAAACAACTGTAGGAAAATTTGAAATCACAAAATTTTACCAAAGTCAACAACATACAAGCTTTATATACACCCATTCCCCACGATAAATGGCTTTTTGACATCATTGACAGCTGCTTTTTCAATAAAAATGGAACTCGTATATGTACATACCTTGTCATTGGTCATTTGCAAAATTATTTTGTTAAAAACATTCTGGTTGTACACAAGTACCCTGAAGTTGATATTAAAAAGAAGCTTAAGTTTCTGATTGACAATATCTATGTCGTTCTTGGAGACCAGGTCTTTCAACAATCTATTGGAATTCCCATGGGTACCAATTGCGCCCTGTTATTGGCAGACCTATTTTTGAATTCATATGAAGCAGAATTTGTTAAAAATCTTATACATGAAAAGAAAAAAAACATTTGCTGTGGACTTCAACTCGACATTGAGACATATCGAAGACGTATTGTCAATTAACAATTAATGGTCATTTCCTTTCTTATGTCGATACGATATATCCCGGTGAGCTTGAAATGAAGAATATACCACAGAGTCTGACACATCTGTTTCATATTTGGATATTTAACTAGAAAAAGAAGTTCACGGTAATCTAACAACATAGCTTTATGATAAATGTGATGACTTTAACTCGTCAACTCCCCTTACCTATGCAGCAATATACCTTTATCACTTGCTTACGGTGTTTATATCTTTCAATTGATTAGATACAATTAGATTGACAACAAGAGTTATCAGTTGGAATGACTTGTAGTACCCCATCTTCTTCAATAAAAATATCTGAGATGTTTTTACATATATTTTCCTTTTGTATTGTTGTCAAACTAAAAGGAATTGCAGAAGTAGAAAGTGTTTTTAATGAATAGGTGTTAGACGCCTCAGGTGTTTTTGCCATTGCTGCGAATAGTTCGAACATATCAGAATTATCGAAGAAGTCGGCATTTTTGAATATTTTTTCTAATTCCTGTAAGTGCTTGCATCTGTTCTGACAAGATAAGCATCTAAGTTTTCCATAGGAAAACCCGATGATGGCAAATGGAGGATGAAGATTGTCATTTCTGATGGCATAGGTTTTCTCCATTCCCCAGTCCAACTTCTGACAAAGTGTCTGACAAAAGATAACAATTTTAGTTTATCTTCAAAGGATAGATCTTTGAAGCAAGTTTTCTGTATATTTATAAATAAGTGTGCAATTGCAACAGTGAAAAAAAGTAGCATGAAAGGTGCTTAGAGATAATTATACTGCTAAATTATGTGTGCATACAATATATACGTAAAAATTAACTACGAATTACCTATGCAATCCTAAATGTTTGATGTAGAGACACATAAATAAATACAATGGATTAAAAATATTTATTACTATAGGCTTAAAACATACTTTTTCTTGGGGACAGGAATTTTCTTCACTGTAACGATGATCCTCTACAATCAGATACATTAAAATAACACATATTGATATACATGTATATACATATTTTAAACTAATTTCAAACATCAATTGCATGAATTATTCTGAGTAATAAATAACATTGATATAGTCTCCACTGTTTTTGATTGACTATTATTGTTTTACACCCAGTCTGCAATATTTCAGCCATATTTTGGCTTCATTGTCTTTGAACAAACAACAGGTGCCCAATGTTAAAAATGAACTGTGTACTGTAGGTAAACTCAATACTTATACCTTCATATAAATATTTCTCTCAAATTCCAAAAGCAAACTTCTTTATTGTTCAAAGCTTCCTTATATGCCTATCAAAGATGTGATTATGAATGAACCAACCTGAACCAGTAATCTCCTCAGAATCTTCTTCCACACCATAAAGATCCTTAAATTTTCTACAAAGCTCTTTAGCAGCCTCAACATGTATACATCCTGCATACAGTTCCTCTACATCTAAATATATATATATAAATATGATAATATACATTTATTGACTGGGTTAAAGGGCAATATGCATTTTGTTGGACCTAAGAATCAAACAGTTTGTTTGCCTGAGGCCATTAGGCTGCAAGTAAACAGTTTGGTTCGAGGAGTCAACAAAATGCATTTTGCCCAAGAAGACAGTCAATAAATGTTTTGTTATACCAATTGGGTGATGTAAGCAGTCCAATATCTCATTTGGCAGTCAAACATAAATTTTTTTTTGACTGCTCAGTAAAACTTTGGAAATGTTAGACTTTTTTAAGTATGCATTTACACAGGAACTAATTTTGAAAGGTATAACAATTTACAGTATACTGTGTGAAACTGAAATGATATCATAATTTCGAATATTTATTACCGGTAATCATTGATAGATAGATTATTTGTATATAAAAACATAGCATTTATTTAAACAATCACTCTGATTATAATTTATAATTTGTGAAAAACATTTTTTTCTGCATTTTTAAATACTTTTCTTTTAAATAAAAATATATAATTTGACATTAGAAATAACTGAGTTGGGCTCATACCTTCAGAGGTGCAGGATGAAACTTTGTTCATGAAAGTATGTCTGTCTAAATCACAAGAGCAGGCATATCCCAACTGTGGCATTTTTTGCACAATTATAGGTCTGACTTTCTAAAATTTGAATTTAAACAATCTTTAACTCGATAAAAAAAAAAAATTCAATCTGCAGCAATCAATATAGAGAACAAAATGATTGTCTTTATTTTATGCAAAGATTAAATGATTCAAATTTCATAGAAAAGTTAGGAAATACAAAACTAGATTAACAAGTAGATCTGTTTAAAAGAAGTGAATGTAAAAAAATCAAAATTGGAATCTTTACACTTAGTGTTTTATCGGTGGAATCCCAGTCCATTAGGGCACACACTTCTAAATCCCTGTCCAAAAAAACACATCCCCTGCTTTGAAATATTGAAAATAAATACAGCTTGCAGTCGTCTGTATTTTCACCACCAATGTTCAAAAGCACATCACCACTCAGAGGCTCTTCACGATTTTCAGTATTTGCAGAAGACACAATACAGTCACTCAGACTTCCAACTTCAAAATGTTGCTGATCATTTGCAGCAGGTATGTCAGTAGAAGACATACCGGTAGTGCCCTAAGAATGTGAATAAAAATCACTTTTGAATAAAAAAACTCTTATCTCTTTTTATCCAATATTTTAATTAACAAGTTAACATTTCAAACACATGTACTGTAAAAAGAATTATCTCATGAAAGGAAAACCTTACAGCTTTTCTTGATTTTATTTTGGTTGAGCCAAGTTTTGAAGATTTAGAGTGGCGTCTCTTGACTGGAAGTTTTGAAAAGTCCAATCCACATTCTCCCTGCACTATAAATCTTTTTCTCCAGTTTTCCATTGTAGGTTGAACCCTCTGTTGAAAAGAAAGAATATGATAAAAAAGTACATATAAATACAGATAAATTTATTACTACACTATACCTCCAGGATTTCAAAAATAAAATCCATACCTTCTTTTTAACATCTTTAGAGTCCATTTTAGATTGAGTCTGTAATCTTCTGTGTGAACAGTATGTAAACTTGTGATCTGTTGATCTAAATAATATAAATCATGTACAAAAATGTAAAATCTATATAAGTTTATAGGTTTAAATGCATATAGATACTTGAAGAATTCATAAATAAATCAAGATAGAGTTTTAATTTTCTATAAATTGAATTCTACAAACATGTAGGGGTGCTTGTTTTATGATATAAAGAGTACTGAAGTTTTAAGATCATTGTAATACATGCAATTATAGTAAGCATAGAGCCTTTTTCAGAGGTGAACATGAAAATGAGGTGCAATTGTAAACAAAAAAGATGTCTTTGTGAAACACTGATGCCCCTGTATGACAGCTTTGGCGAAGGTTAAAGTTTCTCAAATGCAAGTCTAACTCAAAGGTCAAGGGATAAAAAATGTTGTAACCCCCCAAAAAAGGACTTGTTCTCAATGAATATACCTGTGAAATATGAAACTGCAAGCACTAAGTACATGTATTAAAAAGTTATGGCCAAGGTTAAAGTTTTTTAAACGTGGGACAAAATTAAACTCCAAGGTCAAAGGGACAAATTAAAGGTACCCAGAGAACGGTCTTATCATAAGAAATACATAATTATGTGATATATTAAAGTCCAAGCACCAACTGTTCAAAAGTTATGGCCAATGTTAAAGTTTTGCAAAAGTAGGTCAAACTCCAAGGTCAATGTCAAAAGGTCAAAAATGTTGGTATCCCAAGGAAGGCCTTGTCACATGGAATACACCCGTGAAATATGAAGGCCCTAGTACGTACTAACTGTTTAAAAGTTATGTCCAAGGTAAAGGTTTTTAAAAAGTGGGTCAAACTCAAAGATCAAGGTCAAAATGTCAAAAATATTTATATTCATGGAAAGGTCTTATCACAATAAATACATATGTGAAGTATGAAAGCTGTAGCACCCACTGTTCAAAAGTTAAGGTCAAGGTAAAAGTTGGGTAAATTCTCGCAAAATTTGGTCAAATTCCAATGTCAAGGTCAAGAGTTCAAATATGTTGGTACCGAAACAAAGGACTTGTCACAAGGAATACACATGTGAAATATGAAAGTCATAGCTCCAACCAATCAAAAATTATGGGCAATGTTAAAGTTTTTGCAGAAAACAGGTAAACCAAAAAAAACAGATAAACAAACAGATAAATAGACAGACAGATGGACAGGGCAAAAACCATATACCCCTGAATCTTCGATTAGGGGGCATTAAAAATTGTACCAGTAAGTATAATACTTCGTATTTTTAAAAAAATGGTTAAGTGTACAGATAAATAGGTCCTTTTTAATAAGTTTACAAGAAATTAGGTGCTTAAGGTCATTGGTTTACAATAAAGAAATATGTATGTTTTATAGTGAACAGGTAGTCCAGTAATGTATAGGTTCAAATATGCAAACATGGGTAAGGAGGTACTTTTAGTTCCATAGTTTTCCATTGCCAGGGTACTGGATAATACCTTGTTAGTAAATTTTATACCTGACGAGGCTTTAGTCACTACAAAACTATATAATGAATTTAACCCATTGATATTAACAATATATTCAGGTGTCTATGGTTAGTAAAATGTTTCTCCCCACTATATCTTTCATAATCCTGTATTTTGATTATACATTCTTTTGTAATTGGTTCATGTAGTAACAATATAAAGACAGTTTGGAAAAAAATTTAATCAAGGGAGAAAAAGGTTTCATTATGTGTGCTCAATACCGACGTTAGTCAACTTTTTACTTCCAGGGCATTCAATCCCCACGCTGAAGCAAACCTGGTTATTTATAATATTTCAGTTATAATATACTAAATGCTAAATGTTTTACCTTAATTAGTCACAAATCAGATTTTTCTGCTTGTGGAATGCAACTAATTCCGAGTGAAACCAACATGGCATAAATGTGCAAACTGCAGATACACGGGTCATCAATTCCTTCCTTTCTTATAAAATATAAAACTTAATTATACATATATCAGAAGTAAATTTGCACCATAAATATGCAAGTTGGGTTGGTAGACAATCTATCATTTTAGGTCTGATTGTGAAATGAGACGCTAGAAAAAAGGTGCTTGAAGAATTATGCTTCATGCTAGAGAATATTTACGGGGAAATTTCAGGGCATTCAGTCCCCACGCTGGAGAAACTTGGTCGAAAATTTATTACATTTCATTTATAATTAATATATATAATATACTAAATGCTAAATATCTTACCTTAGTTACAAATCAGTTTTTATCTGCTTGTGGTATGCAACTTCCCGGTGAAACCAACATCATGAATAAGGCATTAATGTGCAAACTGAGATACATGGGTCATCAATCCCTTCCTTTTTCATAAAAATGTAAATCTTAATTATATATGTCAGTAGTGAATTGTCAACATAAATATGGGTTGGTAGAAAACTGTACGCAAACAATATATCATTTTAGGTCTGATTGTGAAATGAGACACTAGAAAAAAGGTGCTTGAAGAATTATGCTTCATGCTGGAGAATATTTACGAGGAAATTTCAGGGCATTCAGTCCTATGAGGCGCCATTCTGGTATTTACTGCCAAAAAGTGATATCTTCTATTTGAATAGGTGATATCACCTATTCAATTGGTGATATCACCTATTCGAATAAGTGATATCACCTATTCAGCTTCTGAATAGGTGATATCACCTATTCAAATAGGTGATATCACCTTTTCGAATAAGTGATATCACCTATTCAAATAGGTGATATCACCTATTTGATTTGAATTGGTGATTTCACCTATTCAAATAGGTGATATTGCCCATTCAAATAGGTGATATCACCCATTCAAATAGGTGATATCACCTATTCAAATAGGTGACATCACTTAATCATTTTGAATAGGTGATTTCACTTAATCGAATAGGTGATATCACCTATTCAAATTATTTATGAAATAACAAAAGCTCCCAAGACTATAGTCTTTAATTCTCATTTTATGACTTTCACTTTTGTTTTATAACTTAGCGTTCTTGGAGACAATGGATTACAGCTTCGCATTTAGTTTTTAGCACCCCAGTAGAATTTGTAGTTTGTTTTGCTCACATATTACATTTATTACACTTATCTATCATGTATACTATAGGAAAAATCATGAAAAACACATAACAACTGTTCCATACAAAAAATACCTCACTTTACATTATAAAGAGAGAAAGGTATGTCACTCTGTTGTACCCCAGCTTGGTATTATTTATAAAATTTATATAACTTTACAGGGGTCGATAAAATAAGGTATTTAAAATGTCTCAGACTCAAATACAGGGGAAAACTGAGCAGCCCAAATTAGCTAGGTTCCAACGGAAATCTAGATAGTCTTGGGGAAGGGAGCATTCATTATTTACTGTAAGATATGCATATACGTGATATCACCTATTCGAATTGGTGACATCACCTATTCAAATTGAATAGGTGATATCACCTATTTGAATAGATGATATCACTTATTCGATTAGGTGATATCACCTATTCAGCACGAATAGGTGATATCACCTATTCGAATTGGTGATATCACCTATTCATTTCCAATAGGTGATATCACCTATTCGAATAAGTGATATCACCTATTCAAAAAAGTGATATCACCTATTCAATTTGAATAAGTGATATCACTTATTCAAATAGGTCATATCACCTATTCGTATAGGTGATATCACTTAATGGCAATAAATACCAAAATGGCGCCTCATACAGTCCCTATGCTGGAGCAACTTGGTCGAAAATTTATTACATTTCATTTATAATATACTAAATGCTAAATATCTTACCTTAGTTACAAATCAGTTTTTTTCTGATTGTGGTATGCAACTTCCCGGTGAAACCAACATCATGAATAGGGCATTAACGTGCAAACTGAGATACACGGGTAGATCATCAATCCCTAAAATCTTTTTCATAAAAATGTAAATCTTAATTATATATGTCAGTAGTGAATTGTCAACATAAATATGGGTTGGTAGAAAACTGTAAGCAAACAATTTATCATTTTAGGTCTGTTTGTGAAATGAGACGCTAGAAAAAAGGTGCTTGAAGAATTATGCTTCATGCTAGAGAATATTTACGAGGAAAGGAGTATTCTACTTAAGTATAGTAGTGTGGTCCCTTTTTACCGGTTAAATATTAGCGTACGGTTTTTTGTTTGTTTTCATTGTGTATAACGAAGTATTTCTAATTAAAACATTGTGTATTTATAATGAATAATTATACATATCAAAAAATACAAGCCTATTTTTAACACCTATCGCACTAAAAAATCCCGGAACATTTTCCCCCGATCAGACTACGGTTTCTCTATTACATGGAAATGGGCGGAGACATTTAGATTAGATACTATAAAAAGGAGAACTTGGAATTATATTTTTCGTTCAAAGACGAATTATATGTTCAAGATTCACAATCAACTACAAATACAATTTTCTATTTACAAAACTTTGGCAATAAAAGCTGTAACAAGATGAACCAAACAACTCCATGCTGATCGATATAAAACTGAGTACGTTTCAAGTGAGAACTAGCACGTTTACTGGGGGCATTTACCCGTAACGATACAAATCCACGTGGCTTGCTTTGATTCTAAACAGGTCATAAAGAGGTTAATCGCATGTAAATGAAGTCAACGAAGAGATTCAAAATCATAATACTTTTAATTAGAAAACATAGAGCACAAGGTTGTTCAACAAAGATATTTTCACTCAACCTTTACAGATATAATATACACATTATATTTCAAACTCGACTCTGAACAAACCTGTGCTCGGTGTTTACGAAAGCTTTGAAGTGTGTACCTGTCACTGATTTCTTTTGATATTCATGAAAATCAAAGGACCCTACCTTCAACGCGCAGCTTCGTATGCTGCCTATATCTATTGTTTGACATTCTTAGATGATGATTCACATAATAAAGACATTAGTTAATAATAAAATTTAATTTTTAAAAATTCTAATAAATGTTCGAAATTTGACG